CACCCTGGATGGGATATTAGTCTGTCACAGGGCACATACACACACAATGCGCAATTTAGACACCATATTGCCTCACTGTAGGAGGAATCCTGTGCGACCCATGCAGAACAGGTAAACCTCACAAACACACACACACACAAGGAGATGTGATTCAACAAATCAACAGTGCTGCCTACTTAGCTGCTATGCTTTTCTAACAACTGTAAATACATGAAAAATATTACAGATAGACCTAGAACATCAGGGAAAGGCTGGAACAGGAAAAATAGCTTTGTTTTACTTTGGTCTTGATCCTTTGTAGGGGTGAAACACACATACTTATTTCAGTGGTTCAAAATCTTCAATAGAAAAAAGTACACTTCTGGGCAAATATGCAGATTAAATTACAGATTAGTTTTTATGATACTATTTCTTACTTAGAACTGTGTAAAATATATATCACCATCTCCAGTCTCCTTGTGATGCAGCACAACCGCAGACTCTTGTTCTAATGTGAGCCCTGCAGTTGACTTGAATTTTTGTTGAATAACCTAACAAGTTAAGGTAAGGGATTTGTAAGCTCTTGGATCTGATATTCAGTGTAATAAGCCCACCTCCTATACTCTCTTCAGGTAGAAGTGGTGGAAGGCTGTCTGCGCTGCCCAGAATCAGGCAGAGAATTCCCAATATCCCGTGGCATTCCTAACATGCTGCTGAATGAGGATGAGGTCTGAAAAGTTAAATGGTATGCCTCACTCTGGGGGTGTGTGTTTAAATGTTAACATGACTGAATGTTCAAAACAAAGGTTCGTTAGTTGCAGCAGTAAAGCACCAAACCTGAAGTCACTGGTGTTCAGTTTGTTTTGGGATGCAGAGTGAAGGGTGTTTCAAGCTTGCCTGCAGAACATCATCTGTGCTGATCTGATCTTTGTCACTGGACATGCCTTTAATGTTGCATTATTCAGCAATTTTAACATTTAGTTGCACTGTGTGTAATAAAGCTGTGGGTCATGCAGGTTCTGGACAAACACAGGCCGACACTATTCCGTATCCAGGGTAATGATGACCTAACTTAAGCATTTTTACACTTAAGTATGTAAACATGCATAATTTAAATTGGCACACTTCCTTTTGACTTTTGCTTTCTGTTTTATAAGCATTTGCTCTGTATATGGACACATTTTTGTGTTTTGGAATCTAAAGCAATTTAAATAAAATGGAAAAAAATTCCTATTAATGTTATTATAAAACATTTTGTCTGTGGTGTCTGTATATTATATTAAGTTAGATGAATCCCAGAAGGAAATCCTTGTACAGCAGCAAGGTACGTGTACATAAAGCACAGACATACATTTAGTGCAAAACATACTAAAAGTACATAGTACGCAAATAGAACCCTGAAGAAAGGAATATTATGTAATATGAATTAAAAATATTAAGAAAGTATTGTAATGAAATATCAGATGGCAATGTGCAATTAAAAAAAACACACTACAGTGGATATAAAAAGTGTACACACCCCTGTATTTTTGTGACATAAAGATCACGAGAAATCATTTTAAAATTCCCATCTTTAATATGACCTATTACCTGTAAAATTCAAATGGTAAGCAAACAAATGTATTTAGGTGAAAAATAAAAAAACATACAATAAGCTGGTTGGATAAGTGTACACATTCTTAAACTAATACTTTTGTTGAAGCACCTTTTAAATATATCAATCATTCTTTTTGGGTAGAAGTCTCAGTGTTCCACATCTTGATTTGGCAATATTTGCCCACTCTTCCTTGCAAAGGCGCTCCAAACCTGTCAGATTGTGAGGGCATCTCTTGTGCACAGCCTTCTTCGGGTCGCCCCACAGATCTTCAGTTGGATTTAGGTCTGGGCTCTGGCTGGGTCATTCCAAAGCTTTAATTTCCTTCTTTTGCTGATTTGGATGCATGCTTGGGGTCATTGTCATGCTGAAAGGTGAAATTCCTCACCATCTTAATCTTTCTATCAGACACCTGAAGGTTTTTGACCAAAATTGACTGGTATTCGGAACTGTTCATAATTTCCTCCACCTTGACTAAAGCCCCAGTTCCAGCTGAAGAAACACAGCCCCAAAGCATGATGCTGCCACCATCGTGCTTTACTGTGGGTATGGGGTTCTTTTGGTGATGAGCAGTGTTTTTTTCGCCAAACGTACCTTTCGGAATCATGGCCAAAAAGTTCAACCTTCTTGACCGGTTTTTGTCTTGTCTTTTCATCAATTTTGGAGGGACGTTCAGGTCTCTAATGTCACTGTTGTCCCATATATTCTGCACTTTTTGAGGACTGTCTTCACTGTGTTCCATGGTATATCTAATGCCGTGGAATTTTTATTTCTACTCTTCTCCAGACTGATTCCTTTCCACAATGAGATCCCTTTGATGCTTTGTAAGCACACTGCAAACCATGGCTTTTGCTGTAGGACGCAAGTGAGTAAAAATCATGAAAATTCTACTAGGACAGTTGAACTTTATTTGGGGTTAATCAGAGTCACTTTCATTGATGCCAGGTGTGTACCCAAAGACTGAACGCGGTAATTAAATCAAAAAGTGCTTCCACAAAGTATTAGTTTAAGGGTGCACACACTTATGCAGTCCGCTTATTGTACATTTTTTTAAATATAGTTTTGCCCCTAACAGATTTGTGTGTTTTTAAATAGAATTGTACAGGTTATAGGTCACATTAAAGGTGGGAAAGGTTTTGAAATGATTTTGAGACAGATGGCCTCATTTTCTCATTTTTTTTTTACATTACAAAAACTTGACATTTTGACAGGGGCGTGTTCACTTTTTAAACCCACTGTATATATTAGGCAAAAACTACTGGAGATAACATTTATCCAGGTAATGTCAGCCTCCTACTGGCCTTATCTGCTCAAACTGGCATATACACTGCAGCCTCCTACTGTCATAAACATTGCTCAAAAAAATTTAAGGAACACTTTTTAATCAGAGTATAACATCACGACAATTAAACTTCTGAGATACTGGTCAATTTCAGTAGCAGAGAGGGTTGTTAATTCGTTTCAGCTGCTTTGGTGTAATGAAATTAATAAAAGGTGCACTAGAAGGGCAACAATGAAGACGACCCCCAAAACAGCAATGGTTTAACAGGTGGAGGCCACTGACATTTTTCCCTCCTCACTTTTTCTGACTTTTTTTCACTCATTTTGCATTTGGCTACAGTCAGTGTCACTACTAGTAGCATGAGGTGATACCTGGACCCTACAGAGGTTGCACAGGTAGTCCAACTCCTCCAGGATGGCAAATTGATATGTGCCAGAAGGTTTGCTGTGTCTCCCAGCCCAGTCTCAAGGCCATGGAGGACATCCCAGGAGACAGGCAGTTACTCTAGGAGAGCTGGACAGGGCCGTAGAAGGTCCTTAACCCATCAGCAGGTCTGGTATCTGCTCCTTTGTGCAAGGAGGAACAGGATGAGCACTGCCAGAGCCCTACAAAATGACCTCCAGCAGGCCACTGGTGTGCATGTCTCTGAGCAAACAATCAGGAACAGACTTCATGAGGGTGGCCTGAGGGCCCGACACCCTCTAGTGGGCATTTGCCATAGAATACCATAATTAGCAGGTCTCCCACTGGTGCCCTGTGCTTTTCACATATGAGAGCAAGTTCACCCTGAGCACATGTGACAGACGTGAAAGGGTCTGGAGAAGCCGTGGAGAACATTATGCTGCCTGTAACATTGTTCAGCATGACTGGTTTGGTGGTGGGTCAGTGATGGTCTGGGGAGGCATATCCGTGGAGGGACGCACAGACCTCTGCAGGGTAGACAACGGCACCTTGACTGCCATTATGTATCGGGATAAAATCCTTGGACCCATTATCTGGCCCTACGCTGGAGCAGTGGGTCCTGGGTTCCTCCTGGTGCATGACAATGCCCGGCCTCATGTGCTGAGAGTATGCAGGCAGTTCCTGGAGGATGAAGGAATTGATACCATTGACTGGACCCCACGCTCGCCTGACCTAAATCCAATAGATGACCTGTGGGACATTATGTTTCGGTCCATCCGACGCTGCCAGTTTGCACCTTGGACTGTCCAGGAGCTCAGTGATGCCCTGGTTCGCATCTGGGAGGAGATCCCCCAGGACACCGTCCGTCGTCTCATTAGGAGCATGCCCCGACGTTGTCAGGCATGCATACAAGCACGTGGGGACCATACAAGCTACTGAGTACGATTTTCGGCAAAATGGACTAGCCTGCCGCATCATTTTTTCGCTTTGATTTTCGGGGTGTATTTGAATTCAGCCCTCTGTAGGTTGATAATTTTCATTTCCATCGAACAATGTGGCATCCTTTCATTCCCAACACATCACTCAGTCCATATCAGTATAGTTGTCCAGCGTAATTTTTTCCCCATTGAGATCTGGTGTGTTGTCAAAGTGTTCCTTTAATTTTTTTGAGCAGCGTAGTTCGATATGTGATGAAGGTTTCTCATTCAATTACTCCGGCGAAATCTCTTAACTTTAAATTCTTCAGTCGATGACTGACATATTCCATTCCACCAACCAAATGTTGACTTTCCCAAAAGTCCCTGCTCTGCTGCCCTCAGTACGCCTGACTCACCACAAGCTTGGTGACAAAAACATAGTTGCTAAGAATAAAGTGGCATTAATGTGTTTGCTAACCTGCTAACAAACATAGTGGATCTTCGTCTCCGGGACATTCCTTCAGGTCACCTTGGACCCAGCTGGGTCATTCAGATGTTTTGTCCACTTTTGCCCACGTTCTTGCATATTTGGACCTCCCGGCTGCACCCTTTGAGAATGCAGTTGCTATGGTTGCCTCTTTAGGTTTCCAAACAAGTTTTTGAGAAGTGTAGCTAGTTGTGTACTACCAAACCATCCATTCACACACTGAGCTGAAAGTTTGACACTTTGTTAATTTTAGTGTGTACATACATAGAAAATGACAACCCCTGCCAGAGACAGAATGTCTAAAAGGGAATTTGTTGGGACAAACAAATGACAAAGGTGGCCATATCATTCTGCATGTTTTATTACAAAACAATGTAGTTTAGACTAGTTCATATTTGTGTTCCTACACAGTGATTTTAAAGTGACCAGCTAACAACTCTGAACAGTTCAAAAGAACTATAACACGAGACACTTTCAACGCACAAACACAAAAAAAGCATTTTTACTTTTAAAACATTGGAAAAATGTCTTTATTTCAGCTTAGAAAAAAAAATTAAAACACTTTCAGTTGATACATTAAAACAAATGTCTTCTTCCATCACCCTTTCATAAGTTTGTGTGTGTGTGTATATATATATATATATACATACAAACACACAAACACATTTATATGTGTGTGTGTGTCATGATTAATTTTACAGTGAATGTACATTGAATTTTGTAAAATTGCCATTGGTTTTGATTATTCATGTTGCTCTTACACAAATACTTATGTGAATAGGTTGACTCAAACCACTTTCTACTTGATACCCTTTACAAGCTGTGTTAGGGTTAAAAATATCAACCTTCTAACAGACTGTATGCCACTGTACACTATATATTTGTTTATTCACAGTTAAAAAATGACAATGACATTGATTTGAGTGGTATATAAATTTCAGTGGAATTCATCTAAGGATCCTGTTCAAGTGTATAATTTGAAACAGGTAAATATACAATAAATGTTATTCTTTGAATATGCATTTCCAACTTTGGCCACCAGGTGTGGTGATATGATTTAGCAAATGTGTTCATTTTGAAAAAAACAGAATTACATCTGTTGTTTCTAATGACCTTTGTGCACCATAAGCCATTAAAGAATGAACAATACTCATGGCTCTATGATGCCATGCAGTTCAGCTAAACTACTGCACTATAGCATAATCACACTGGACCATGCATTAAAGCTTAGTCCATATAGGTCACTGCTGTGCTGTACAGAGACAGAATATTCCTTTTTCTGTACCTGAAGGTTGCTGTACTTCATCCAGCCACTAGATGGCTCATTACACAGTGACTAAGAAATATCCATATCAAAAAGTAAAATTAATTCAAGCTTAACAGATCCCTGGTTTATAAGTAAAAAAAAAAAACATTATAAAAATGTAGGATAAATGCTATTTGTTAAAAAAATCAAGCTGATAAAATCAGATACACTTAAAAGTTAAAATACTCTACTGAAAATTACATTCACACCCTTAGTTAATGCCTGTGAATAATGCAATTCCAAACATACTCAAGCCCCGGTCAATTCCAGACACATTTTCAAAACCAAGACTCAACAGAAGTCAACTGAAATACACAGAATTGAAAAATAGGCTATTCAGAGAGCATAAAAAATTCTGCATGCAAAATTAAATGTTGCTGAAGCACCAGAATAGTTAGACGTTACGAATTTTACCTCCACAGTTGAAAACTTTCTGCCATTATTCATGTTGGCAAGCATCAGCATTGCTTCAGTGAGAAGTGAGTAAGGATCGTACTTTTACTATGGCTTTGTTTTCTGGTGTCTGGCTTTTTCTTTGTGAAATAAGATTGTTTTAGCCTAACTGTTACAATCTTCATTTTCTTTGCTTCTTTGCCAATATAAATGCTAGTGGTCACTGACTGCATCTCCTGACATTTGTCACTCTTGTTTGGGTCATGTTTACTCTTCCGATAATCTTTAGCATTCCTTTCTTATATTCATTGGTACACAGTGTTCCACTTTAATACGGAGTCTAGCCCCAAATGTGCTGTTCATACGCTTTGTCTCTGTATGCAAGTGGTTTTATTTGTAAATGAAAACAGTCCTTTGCGTGTGTGGGACTAAATCCCAGTGACACACAATCATAAACACGGACATCTGTTCATTGTTAATTATGGGAGATCATGTTCATCATTTGCTTTTCTAGCTCATTTTACATAGTACACTTTTAACTGCTATTATTAAATTCTGCAGGCTCAAGCATTATTGTACAGTAAGATGATTGTAGATAATGTTACATTATTACCTACCAAGTGATTTCTGAAGTGCTTCTGAAACATCCCTCTCAATGGTGGAGTATTCAGAGCTTCAGTATCCTCTTTTGCTCTGCTTCGCCATGAATATGTCACAACCTTAAACATCTTGAACTCTTCCGGATATATTTTGTAGCACTACTTCGGATAAACACAGCAGAGTTCTAATCCAGTTCAATATCCCACTTGTGGCGTTCACTGGAACGTGCTTCCCAGTAAGCAAGCTTCCTGCGCAGTGCGCTTAAGCGGATGATGGGTAGTTGTGTTCACCAGCAGACGCAGATGCAAACTTGAGCTTGTGTGTCTCCTGTTCTCCAGTAAGTCTTTGACTGGCTTTTGTTTTACTTCAAAGAACTGCAGTCTTTCATCACAGACTAGAACCGGTGCTTCACAGCATGGGGCTTGTCCCTGATATCCAGAAGATTCAATATAATTTTTACGGATGTAATTTTATGATTGTCCTGTTTTAGGACAAACTGTTACTTCCCACATTTACTGCAGAAAGAAGTCAAGGGGTAGGAAGATCTACGAAGAAAAACTAATTACTACTGTCTGCAGCTTTCCTGAACTTATTTTTCTCACAAATGCGACTCCAGGTGTCTGACAATGTAAAACACTGGCAGCATGAAACCCGCGCAGATGTGGGTTAAGGAATTCATCTATTGCTAAAATACATTTCCAATAATTCATGAAAACAGTCAACAGTCATTTTAAAAGTCTCTTAAGAGGAATTTAAACAGTGTATTGTCAGTTTACAGTAAAATCCCCCGCAACCTACTCTACATGGAATTAAATCACATTATGTGCAATATTAGGTCTTATAACTACTGTTACTATGAAACTTCTTTATAACCAAGAAGAGGGGTTAACCCTTCATCTGTGATGTATTTAAAGACTCAGATCTAATCTAGCCACAATGATACTGATATAGTATATGGCTTAGGGCAGGGTCAAATAAAAATGCACTTTAAATGCAAATATAATTAGATACAGTTAGCATAAATATACAAATACAGCCTAGTGTATCTGTGTGGAACTGAATTTGGTGAATTATTTGCTCTAGTCCAGACAATACTAATAGTTACGTTCACATGTACGATTCACTCAAAAACCTACAAAAAAACGTTTTATATGACGAACGCTGGTGTTTCTGCATAAATAATATCCGGTCCTCCTCCCCCACTCCTGTCTCAAACTATCAGCTTACAGGTTTCCTATTCAGATTTCCAGCAGGCCAGTAAGTGCCTCTCAGAATCACCCAGTCTCTAAAGCTAAAACATCCATCACCTTCTGCTTTCAGTTCCACCCAGGCGCAGCAGCATCATGCAACGTCTCTCATTCTGCCTCCCAGGACAAGCTAACCTGCCGGGTTGTTCGCGCTACGCGCCGCAAAGAAATACACCCTCGTCCGCCTCCATGCTTTTCTCTGCCGTCCCTCACTATCCCCTCCCCAAACCCTACGGAGAATCCATCATAGCCTCCAGCATCTCCAGGAAGAGCTTGTGCATGGGCACGCCGCCGCGGCTCTTGATGCTGTAGAAGGTGGAGAGGGCGCGGGCGGCAGTCTGCCGGAGTAGGGGCAGGGTGAGCAGAAGCCTCCCGGCTCGGCGCGGGTCGTCCGGCCGCCGCTGGCTCTCCAGCTCCAGCAGGGCCTGGTGAAGAAGGTCTCGCAGCTTCTGCACGGCCTCCATGTCCTCGATGTACACCGAATCTGGGGGGGGGGGGCAATGTGGCACCTGAGAGAAGCAGTGCTGACACACCTACCGTGTGTGACCCACTGAAATCACTGTTTGAACTGAGGGGGATATTGGGGGGGGGGGGGCAGGATCACTATAAGAGCTCAGGAACCTCCCATAAAAAAGAGATCAATCAGTACTACACCCCCAGCTTTTACTGTAGGTAACGTCTTGTGTTATATCAAACAAGTAGCTTTCCAGATGATTTCCATCACGGATGTAGGTGTTGGAGACCCCTGTACTGTTGTTACACAAACAAGCTAATCCGAAACGTATAAAATTCATAACAGATCACAAGAACTACTATTGATGTGGAATTACACTTACAGGTAAGGCGGCAAAGCATCCTAGGTGCTTCACACACAATCAAACAATGGTGACGCTGAGCTACTACAGTATAGGATAACATCTTAATCGGTGTTTCCCAGTCCGGTCCTTGGGGACCCCCAGACAGTCCGTGGTTTTGCAGGAGCTGGTAGGGAGCAAAAATGTGGACCTTCTGCGGGTCCCAGACGACCGGGTTGAGAAACACAGATCTGAATGAATGTTCTTTGTGAGAAGCTCTTTCTGAATCTGATATTTATTCACTTTAAAGTGGCCACTATATTAGGTACACCTCACTAGTACGGGTAGGACCCACTTCTGCCTCCTAAACTGCTTTGATGGACTAATGCATTCAGAGGAGCCTTTCTGCTCTTATCTGCCATTGTGCTGAGCTATTACTTTTGCTTTCCTGTTAGCTTTAGCCAGTCTGGCCGTTCACCTCTGACCTCCCTCATTCACAAGTTGTTTTCTGACACAGAACTGCTCCTGACGAGATGTATTTGTTTTAATCATCACATCATTATCTCTTAACTCTAGACAATGCAGTGTGTGAAGATCTCAGGAAGGTTTCTGAGATGCTGGAAACAACACATCAGGCACTAACAATCACACTATGTTGGAAACCACTTAAATCGTGCATATTACCAATACTGAGTTCAGGCGAACAGTATATCAGTGTATATCAGTGTTGCTGAACAATATTCTGACATTTCAGTTTGTCACCATTTCTCTCAAAAATGCTCAACAATGTTACCTCTTCATTTCCATATGTAACTTCCTGTATCAGGATCTGGATAAAAGTTAAATTATAATTCATTTTCAGTGATTACCTGAGTTGGTGAGCGCAATGGCCTTCAGCATGACAAATTCCTCCCTATCCAGTTCCAGCGCCCTGTACCGCCGGGCCAGCTGACTGATGGCGGTATTGAGATCGCTCAGCCCAGCTAGTCGGGACGACTCCTCATCCAGGACGAAGTCCTCTGCAAACACCACCTCGTCCTCGTACCCGAGTGAGCGGTAAGCCACACCCAGGACCAGCACCTCCAACCACACCGACTGGAGCACTGACATCTGGTCTGCCAGTGACAGAGACAGGAAGCCTGAGGAGAAGAGGAGGGCTCAGGGCTGATAGACAAACGCGGTGACCAATGTCTGCGCAGAACACAGCACCGTCTCAGCTGTATTGCATCCCCCTATTGGCCCCTCACTCACCTGGGATGTGTTTGGCCCAACCGATGATGACGACCAGTTCGCGGTCAGCCAGGTCGCACAGGGAGGTGAGGGTCCGTAGAGCCGTGTCCGGCTGCAGGGGGTCTGGCATGGCGAACAGCTTCTCCGGCTCTGCCACCAGCAGGTGGGACACGATAACATTCGAGGAGCCTGGGTGCCACACAAACAGGCATGACTGTGACGTCTTTCTCAGTGTGTCAGTGGCCTGTGGGCCAAGAGGTTTGGCTCAGTGCTGTAGGACAGGGGCTCCAAAAGTGGGGGTAGTGAGATGATTTCCAAATATGTTATAAAAATATGAAAATTTGCAATTGTTACCGCAACCAGTCAATTGTGATATACCGTGTTGCATCCTGGTTGGCGCAATCTACTGCCCCCCCCCAGGGTCAGTAAAATGGGGGTCGGGAGTCTCATGCTGTGGGGCATTGTGTTACGTGTTCTTTATCAGCCCTCCAGCAAAAATTTGATACCTCAGCATGGCACGTAACCTGAAATAGGGGCATATGAAGGATGTATTTTGCGTAGAACAACATGAACATTTTCATCAGCAAAGAAAAGGAACAGGAGAATCAGAGACCGCTTCAGGGTGGACTACAGTAAGGTCTGCTATGTCACTTTCAAAATGTATATCCTTAAAATACATACATCCCTGGAAAGGGGCTACTTTCATGCCACTGGTCACGCACATGTAGTATAATGTGATCTTGTGACCAAACCTGATTGTACTATAAACAGAGTAGCAGTGGACCTGCAGAGATCGATCTCACGGCACGCCTGATATATGTGATATAACTGCAATCTCTGCAAGGCTCTTGGAATAACAGGTGAACTACCCATCATTAAAATAACAATACCAGACCAGTCTGCCTGTTCACACCAAAGAATAGCCAATTCTCACCTTTGTTACCCTCTTTCCGTAAGTGCAGGGAGGCCGGGCTTTGGTAGGTGGCGCTCTCCACCTCTGGCCGTCTTTTATACTTTTGTCTTCCTCCTCTGACTCGGTCTAGACGAACTCCTGAGGGAGAGTCGAGGAAGTGCATTTATTTTCTATTCACTGTGTAATCTGTCAGGGGTAAACCGTGGAATAGGTAACCAAGTTTACTGTAGTATAACTGCACCCTTCAAAGTGCTATACCCTTCTTATACCATGGTAAGCAAACAAATAATAAAAACAGAATAAAAACTGAAGGTTAATTTTTCAGATGATAATTATTAAACTGGCATTTGATCGCGTTCCAATGTGTTATTAAAAATATAGTCCCTATAAGGATAGAACGTTTGATCAGGTTACTCACTGGAAGCTCACTTAAGTCAACCGATGGGAGCTTGCGCTTTGAAAACCATTTTATATACATCATTTCAAGAATATCTGCTTATTTATGAGTAAAAAGCCGAACAAGTTTTTATATTAACATGTTTAATAAAACATTAAAACACATTAATATAGAACTGTTATTAGGTTGCCTGGTAGTTCATATTGTGTGGTTACAGAAAAACAGTTAACACCCATGTGACATCTCTGGGCCTAGAAGAATATATTATTTACCAAAACCACGGTATAAAACAGTGAAGTGTCATGGAAAGCCTATCCCAGGCACGGTAGCAACCTGGACAGCATGCCAGTCTATCAGTGGGCACACACACATTAAGCATATTGTGGAAACATTTGGTCCCCACAATGTAATAAATACATGATCCACACACACACATACACACACGCATAGACAATATGGACAATTTTCAAACATAAATTAGTCTAAAGTGCATGTCTTTGAGCTGCAGGAGGTATCCCATGTGACATGGAAAAAACATGCAAACTCTCCAGACACAAGGCAGGGGGACAGAATTTGAACCCCGGACACTGGAACTGTAAGGTAACAGTGTTGCCACTCAATCACCACGAAAAGACTAAATACGAATACAGTATTGCTGTATTTTATATATACAGTACTGAAGTTTAACAGACAGGGGCAGTTGAAAGCAGAACAGTGACAGATTAGCGACAGCGGATACAAGGTCCGCATGATGGCCGATCGCCGATGGAGGATCAGGATTATAGGCTCACGTGTCCATGAACACCTAGCGTGTGCTGGACTGGCCATCTGGCATCCTGGGCATTTTCCCAGTGGGTCGATGGGCTTGTGGGCCGGCAAAATGCATGGTCAGGGACCCACCGCCCCCCAGATCACTGTAAGTGTGGTGGGTCTGTATGGGACAATTTTTAATCCCGCCCTAAGCGTAGGGTGACGGGACGCTCTCGGGTAACGCTGTCGGCGGCTTGCCGTGCGTGCTCACCCTCCTTCAGCATGCCCACTTTCAGGCACTTGGTGAAGCGGCAGGCCTGACACGCCTTCCTGCGCCTCTTGGTGATTTCACACTCGTTGGACGCCGGGCAGCTGTACTCAATGTTACCTGAGGGCCAGAGATGGGAACAGATCGAGCGAAGTTCCTGTATCTGGCTGGAGAAAGTGTCTGCTTTTGGTTAGAGGGAGGAACGCAGGTTACTGTGGGATTACGCGCTGTTAATTAAAGGGTGTGCTTCTCAGCGAGCGGCAAACGTGTTCTCTGCATGGAGGCACCTGCAGAGACACGCACAGCTGCACGGTGGGCTCACCCTGGATAGTGCGCTTGAAGAAGGCCTTGCAGGCCTCACAGGACGCCACGCCGTAGTGGTAGCCAGATGCCACGTCTCCACACACCAGGCACAGCCGCTTAGGGAGCGTGCTCAGTGTGTACTTGCACCGCCCACCCCCGCCCCCCGTGGAGCCCTCCTCCCCGAGACCTTCCTCCTTGAAATGGCAGCGCAAGGGCGGTGTGTAGAGCGGCGGGGAGTAGCGGCCGGCGCTCCCAACTCCATTGCCTCCCCCGGTGCTCTGGGAGGAGTCAGAGGAAGCCCCCCCCGGGCTGGCCCGTCCACCTCCACCTCCACCTCCACCTCCCTCAGGACTGCTGGGCTCAGCCTTAATGTACAGATCAGTGCGCCGGTCCCGGGAAGACATGGTGACTGCGATGGATCGGATTTAAGGCAAAGGACCTGGGGGAGACAAGCAGCAGAGGAGAGGGAGCATTATGGGGGGGGCTGGCCAGTTAGTGCACACGTGGAATCGTAACAGGACAAAAAAAAGGAGAGACACACAAAGAGAAAACGAGTCAGACAGGCACCATTGCACAACGACACAATCCTGTGTCAGCATAACTGCTATGATGTAACCATCTTGGACTATCAAACTGCTCTGATGTACAGATACAGACTGTTTAGGAGCCTGGAAACGGATGGTTTTTAAACCTCAAGCACATATGGTTTGCAAGTATATCATGAAAGGAAGATGGGCTGTGAAAAAAACCCATTTTTTTCAATGTTTTTAAAGACTCCAGAAATGCATTACATATAAACACTAGAATCGGAATACTTGTTAATGTGCATTTTCCATAAAAAAAATCTGTGCAGAAACATAATTATAGCCCTCAATAAAAAGCATAGACCTGAATTCATATTTCACCCAAACACACGGAAAAGATATTACCGTTTTCTGTGGAGACAGGCACTCAAATCATAGTGTTTACAGAATGCTGTATTGCAGATACAATAAGCTGAATTAATGTACATATTTACATGTATTTCCTTCCCATTTCCCCTCGCTATATACAAATGTTTTTATGGTAGAATGTAATGTGCTCAATTGCAGACTATTTAAAAATTGCCACACTTTTTGGATTTTGCATTAAAAATAAATGTACTACTAATACATGACTTGGTTGACAATATACTTTTTAAAAGTTTATAGGTGAGGGGTCAGAAAGTAGGCCTACTGTAAGTGATTAGGCCTGTAAGACTGTAACTGTGTAAGGCTATTGGGTAAAAGCCCAGGAGATCACTGCTGGGGCGAAATTCAGAACTGGACAGAACCGTGAGCCAAATGGCCTTTGAAAAACATTTAATAAAACATTTTAGGATGGATTATGAATCATCTAATAACCGCTTACAGTGATCACGTCTGTCTGGGTGAAATTCCTTTTTCTTTATGTCTCAGGCAGATTACTGAACTATGTGTAATTCAAATACGCTATAATACAGTACTATATTGTACATAAAATGTAGCTTATTGTAGTTTCGTTGCTGCATCTCGGTGGCTCGTTTTTGGTGGTTTATCATAAGCTTCGATGAGTCTATATTTGTCATTGAGAGAAAATGACTCTTTTCCCTGTCGTGATTTTTGTCCACACAGCATTTGCTTCAGGTAGTTAGCCGGAAGTAGATGGGTTGCCACAAGGCAAAGTAGGCTTAACAAAGTAAAGTAAAAAGACCCTAAATGAATACTGTAAGCAGACTACTTGATTACTATATGCAAGTTATTTAAACAGTATTTGTACAGGAATGATTCTGTCCCAAGCTTTTTGATCCGTATAAGCAGTAGTTCACTATAACCGTGATCGCTATAAGCGGTTACCACTGTATCATGTAAGAGCTACATGTTATACACTCCGGAACTAACGGATCAGCTCATTCTATACAAATTCCCACTCAATATTTGTCTCTGACATCGATTCTAAGTTTAATGCCATGTTTCTTAAAGTTACAGCCTGCAGCATGAAACTCAGAAATGCTGGTTTTCCGTGGGAGTATCAGTGGCTCAGTGGGTAACAGTTTCCTTGCATCTCCATCACTGAGGGTCTGAATCCTCGCCCTGATCTGGGTGCGGTTTGCATGTACTCACTGTGTTGCGGGGGTTATTGAAAACAAAAAAATTCCCATGCTTTTTGCATATATGTGCCCCGGGATGGACTGGCATCCTGTCCAGGGTGTTCTCCTGCCTATGTCACCTTGGACAGGCTCCACGGTCCCCCATGACCCCATACAGGACAAGTGGTTGAAAGATGGATAGATGGTCTCCATGTGCTGTACTTATGTGCAGTCAGTGACCAGTTTACTAGGTACACCTGCTTGCTAACACAGGCAACCTGCTCCAACAGTGGATTATGTGGCTACATCAAAATACATACAGCACACAGACGGGGTCAAGAGGTTCAATTACTGTTCGACTAAGCATTAGAGCGGCTAAGATGCCTAGTCTAAGTGATTCTGGATGTGTTGTGATTGCTGATGCTGTACGTCGTGGCTCCAGTATCTCAGAAGCAGCCGTCCTTCTGGGATTTTCATGCACTACAGTGTCTAGCTTTTACAGGCTGGACACATCCAGTCAATGGCATTTATGTTACCAGAAGCAGTAGGTTAATGAGAGCGGTCAAAGGAGAATGTCCAGACTCGTTAACACTAACAGCTCACTAAAACACTGCCGCACCTTCGGCACCCCAAAATGGTTCTGGAGGCAAAAATGGATCCTACCCAGTACTAACTAAATGTACCTAGTAAAACCACTAAGTGTGCATGCGACTAATTAATGCTAAACCAAACTCATTCATTTGAGAGGCTACATGGCCTCATAAATAATTATAAAATGGATGGGTTGCATATTTACAGCAGAGCTAAGTGGTTCGTTTACTCTGTAAAAATTACACAAAGTGTGATGCAGCTGATTTTTCTCTTCATTTTTTTCATGTGAAGTGCACACACACACACTCGCACATGTAGGGTATACATATCCTTATGGGGACCGCTCATACACACACACACACACACACACACACACATACACACACACGTTGAATGATAGATTTACTGGTATTTTTTTCCATTAGGCTCTGTAATGCTGCCCAGAAAATCACAGCTGCTTGATTGGGCTGATCAGTGCTGACTACCAAATGCAATAACATATTTAAATTATGTTTTATTTACATGGTGAAAGGCAGAGGATGCAGACAAACCCTGCAGCAAATACTTTCTGTATACTAGGACTATATGGGGTGATCATGCCTTTTTATGTTGGTGTTTGTCAAACCAGCAGCATCTTTTTTTTAAAAAAAAAAAAACCTTAGGATTAATCATTTTAGGCAAACTTACAGATTGTAGAGATTGTAGTATATTTAGTTTAATATGAAGTGCTTTGAGATTTTAGCAGTAAAAAGTGCTAATTATTATTATTATTATTAAGCAAGCCAATGTAACATCACTACTGAAATGCTTGCAGCCACATAAAATATAATTAGTCAAACATAAATTATCATGGTGAGGAAAGCTGTGTAAAAGAAGCTGAATATATGGTTTAGTTCTATTTACAAATCAGCTGCGCCAATAAAAGACCACATAAGCAGAAAATGGCTGATGATGTCCTGCTCTATATTTTGCCCCTTCATACCTGCCCAGTCCACTCCAGACACAATTAATCCTTCGCTTTCTAACCACGGGGATAGTGGCTACTTGCTGAAGGTCTAATCTGCCTACACTAACAGGCTGAGCTGAATGCTAGTTGTCATTCCAGTCCCATACAGCAGACCTTCCAATCTCATGTATGCGTAAAAACACAAACCAATCTGCTGATTTCAAAATCCTCTAAAGTCTACAATGACACAGAACTTCCTGGATGTCAAAATGAACCGCATTCAAATCAAATTTTAAAAACTATTATGCGGTAATAAAATAAATACATTTGATCGCTCACATTATTTTTGAAAACACAAAACAGTAACATTTAAGGAACTCCGGTTAATCTACATATCGATCTCACTATATCAAGCAAAATTAAATTCTGTAAATTCTGGTCCAGAAATGCTGAATATATTCAGCATAAGTGAAAGAGGGAAAGGACTACGGAGCAAGCAGGAGCCGGACTGGGCGTGTGTGGGGGAGGGGATGCCAAGATGTTTGCTGTTGCCTCTGCGGTAGAACAGTAATGAATCTTCCTGCCCTTGCACTGGATTAGGGGCGTTAATCCAGGAGTAAAAGAGCAAGCAACCAGTCTTCCAGTGAAGCCAACGTCAAGCACCTGTAAAGCAAGCGCTGGGGCTGGAAGTCCTTCCCCTCAGCTGTGCCCTTCAGCAGATCTCAGTGAGGAGTAACGGCCAGAGCAGAGCAGCGGTTTCTCTGCTCTCCTTTCTGCTTACGCATCAAATGTCCTACTTCCATTCTAATGGTTTCACTATTTGTGTTTTACACAAACACGTGATGGCATCACACACACACACACACACACACATACACACACACACACACACACACACACACAGGTTTGTAATTATATCTTTGTGGGGACTCTCCATTCATTTCTACGGGAAAAAACTCTAATCCCAACACGATAACCTTAACCATAAGTAATCAAACAAAATACGAGACTTTTGACATTTTTACTTTTTTGACTGCATTCACAGATGTTTGTGGGGACCTGAAAAATGGTCCCCATGTCTAAAAAAAAACAGGTTTTTATTACATTGTGGGGGGACATGTGGTCCCCACAATATAATATAAACCTAATCCACACAAGCACACACACACACACACACACACACGCTGAAACAAACGTGCGTTCTTAAGATTAATGTGGAGGTGCAGAGACTTCCGGTGTTTTCACGACCTTGGGCGTCATTGATACGCCATACGGCTGTATCGACCGCGGCGCCGCCAGGTTCCAGAAATAAACAAAAACAAAGCATACGCAATATAGGTCAAAGCAAGTCTTCGTTTGTCAGCGTCACCAGTTAACCTCAAAACTGATATGCAGGAATGCATCTGATTTACAGTAATCTACACTCCTTTAGCTCCTTCCCCCCATCTCCCATTTGCCTCCATGGCTTTTAACTTTCCACATAGCCTTGGAAATGGGAAATGTTCTGTCTCAATACTTCAGCCCAGCTGCTCCCTGTTAGCACCTTGATTCGTTTACATAACCACTGAACTTTGCCATGTTTTATAGTAATTACAAAATATTTCTTTAGCAAGAGAGCCACAAGTGAATGTCTCAATAAGTTCAACTATTTTGAAAAATCTTACATCCACTGACCCATTCTGTACACCAATTCACTGAAGGCATTAGATACGAAACTCCACAATTAAAAACGAGTGCATTTCAAGCTTTCACAACAGCCAAAATTAAATTTCCTTTGAAACGCTGCTGGGTTTAATACAATATAGAAGTATGCTATGGTCATTTCATCAATGAGGAGTATGTCTGCTGATAATAGCATGATAAAATGTAAGCATTTTCCCCACTGAAAAAGTGGGTCTTCATAATTACTTAGGTCATTTCTGCGAAAACTCTGTGAACACATTCTTTCCTATATGGCAAAGTTTGTGATGCCGGCAATTCTTCGTATTACAGGAATGTATTGTGTGTTAATGTTATTCTGCATTACTGGTGAACTTTAGCATTACATAAGGTGCAAAAGAGACTACTTGTGACAGCATATAGTGTTTAGATGATTCAGTGCTTACAGCAAACAGTGATCCACAGCCCCAGAACCCACTGATTTTGATACATGCATATGAGAGGATTTCAATCAGCTGGAGAACCGATACGTGCATAAATTAAGTAACCAAAAGATTGCTGTTGCTTACGTTGTAGGAGGTGCATAACCTACAACAATCTCTTGCGTGTGTGACCTGTAATTTCTCAGTCATACAAAAAGAAGTGAAGTGAGTGGGGTTTTGATACAATGTCAGTCAGAGATGGAAAGATTAAATCCAGAAAGTACAAATCCAGACCAAGCTTTTGTTTCAACCAACCAGTTGAGTATAAGGAGTCACAGTCACTGAGTATTTCTATACACAGACAATTTTTCTGGACCTGAACTTTCTGCTTCTGCTGTCAATTACTGATGGGTTTGTCCTACTACCCATTAGTCACTTTCTGGTTCCCAATAGGGTCAAACCAGTCACTGACTGACAAGGCACCCCACTGACAGCTTCACGGCTTAATTTCTCCTACTACCAGGTGATATTTTTTACTAATCTCATGGCAAGTTTTCAGTTCAAGGGCTAAAAGATGAAACAATGGATTTGAAAGTATATTGTATATCAAACCATGCATCTTTACATGCACAAATACTGTACATATTATATAGACCAGGGGTAGGCTGTCTTATCCGCAAAGGGCCACTGTGTATGTGGGTTTTCACTGCAACTCCCTAATTAGATTACTAATTAGAGGACTGATTGGCTGAAGAGTCCTCACGCCTGGGTTTGAACAGCTGACCGAAAGGTTATCCCAACCACCTGCATACACACCAGCCCTTTGCAGATAAGACTGCCCATCCCAGACATAGACCGACCATTCTGTACTCATATGTTGATTTATATTATCGATCTATGGTAATATCATTGGGCTAATATCCTTGGGCTTGGTCTGTTACGTCAATCAATGGCAATCCCAACAGAAAAACATGAACAAATTTATATTAAACTGCAAATGAGTTCCAGGAAATAACACAATGAGCATTTTCATGCTCATTGTGGAGTCAAACATGAACATATGCTGTAAGTCTGTCTGGTTGTTTTATTGATTTCACCATTATGTACCTTATTTATCTACAGTAATTTACAGAAAGATCCCTTTCAAATTTCTTGACTGTTACTGTTTGTAGTACTGGATGCCTATATCAGGAAACAGGAATACAATAAATATACTCATCTCTGAGATATTACTGAGAGATATATACTGTAGAGAATTCCTATGCCAACCAGGACTGGGCCCAGACCTGGGTACTCCAGCGTTCATATGACAGGAAATTGTGCACATTGCGGAAAGCATATGAAGTGATGCGTGTGTTTAATAAATCAGGGAAAAATCAAGGCAAGAAATTCTGTTTTTAATTCAGTACCCCCCTAACATCTATGAAAATGGTCCACAACTTTCACAATTTGAACATTCCTTTCTTTAACAAAGATAAAAGAAATTTTAATGTAATGTTAGTACCAGTGAAATGTCTAATACAACACAGATTGCACTGAATGTCACCCTTTACAACAGAAAACCCTGTCTGCAGAAGAATAAGGATTTACTTGCAAGCTAATTAGCAGAAAATTCCAGGAAAAAGAGACACGCTGGAAACTATATAGTGATAATCAAAAAAAAAGTACCTTTGTGGATGGGTCTCTCTCCTCCTGCTCCCTGGTGCTTCCTCTCCTTTTCGAAAGGTGTCACTTTATTCTATTAACCTCAGTGTGGTCTGCTCATCAGAAATCCTAGAAAGTATATAGCCTTTTAGTAAATATTGACATTCATTTGCAAGTAACAACCAACATTAAAGAAACGCACTTAAAATAAATGTAAATCATCTGAACCAAATACTTTAATGTTTTTGACCTTTGATCGAAGAACATTTTTAAAGATGAACATTTGCATCTAAACATGGTGACTTTCTGAAGGGACTTAGCAGTATTCCCTTTGTTTTAAGGAGACAATTAAACGGGCCCGCACAAAGAAGCAGGAACGGCAGAAGGCCCACATAAGACACAAAACAGTCTGACAACGGGGTCAAAGCTTCAATCCATGAAGTATTTCATTAGCATGACATTCTCTCTCACTGTCAATGCAAAACACATGTAGCACATCTTACTATGAGCACAAAGATACCTATTATTTGTCCTCTGTGTTGACTTCAGTTACTTCCCTTCTTGCCACAATGTATAACAAAAACTGCTGACAAAAATGGAAAAATATACGCATATATTCCTTTCATTCTTTGCCTTGCCTACAAAGATGCATTTGGCTTGTTGAGTACACACATTCCTCCAAATCACATGCATAACACGATCTCTCTCTCTCTGCACGAGTGGCGCCTTTCAAAGGTCAAAGTTGCAGGACAACCTGAAGGACAGAAGCTGCAGCTACAGTACCCCACTGTTCCCAGCTCATACGGTAGCTTTGCTATTTCCCCATGAGCATTACAATGTTTCACACAAAGAACATACACGAGGGAACGAGGGACAAGCTAAGGTACACTACTGTACCTGCCGAAATTACAGCAGTTATAAATAAAAAGGCAAAAATTAAAGACATTAAAAAATATCTAAGCAGTAAACTAATCAGTCAAATTTAGGATATGCAAATATAAAACTACACTTCTTAACGTACGTAAAAGTGCAGTCAAAACACACAGAATGTTGAGCCTGTGGTTCAAATCATGTTGAACGTCACAACACTGCTTTACCCTCTTATCTGTTTGTGTTTGCTGGCTAATGGTTATCTAATTGCTTTTTGGTCCATGGAGGTCATAAAATGGTAGATGACATAATTTAAAATATACTTCAATACTGTGTGATCGTAATGCATTTATTTTCTGCTGGCATCTGCATACAACCAAAAAAAAAAAAAAACCCACAAAATGACTTTCTACTACAACCTCATAAGGCATTTTTATGTGACAAGCTTTATTTTAAATTGGAACGACAAAAAAACCATTTGAAGTTCAAGCCAGGTTTAAGATCCAGGGAACACAGATCCTTTAATGTCCATGCCGCTTGGGTGCCCTTTGAATTCTTTTAAAGGTCAGTCCCAAAACTGGCTTTCGACTCCCTAGTCAGGCCACTGACCATATAACACAGGGTTAAAGCCACACAAGGCCACAGGACAACAACCTCACAGGTGATCTGTAAATCATTCTAAAGGGTAATTGCAAAACTGGATTACGACGTCTTGGAGAAGAGTTTCCAAATTGTGGTTTTGAAACTCTTAGTCCATCCCTGACAATACAGAAGAGTAAAGCTCATTGTTGTGGTTCAACTCTGATATATAAAATACATATTTTACTTTATATTATATTAATATATTATACAGTATTACATTATATTATAAAATTATATTAACTGTATATATTTAAGCAAATTATATATATATATATATATAAACACACACACACACACACACGCACACACACATATGTGCGCGCGTGTGTGGGCGCGCACGCGTAGATAAATTTTGACTGTTTCCGCCAGAACAAAGACACGTGCCATTAGAAATACCTAGAATACTAGGACGCTGATAGCTTCAGTTGTTCGAGCAGGGTAGTGGTGTGAGTCTATTTTGGGTCTTTCTGTTTGAGGTAAATTTAGACAAACGGGACACGACTCTCTGGTTGGCGGACTGGGAATGACTGACTTGCGGACTTCTTTTTAAGAACTAAGTAACCCTTGTCACGTAACGTTACAATAACCAGACGCATTTCACTGTCAGCCTCAGTAAGCCAACATGGAATCTGCATCGATTGAGTTTAACTGAAAAGTACTATGCTAAATAGCATTACACTGCTGTTTTCCATTTGCATTAGGAATGCATTAAAATGTCCACTTTAAGAAACGATTTACAGATACTTAAGCATTCATATAAGCTACTTCCACAAACATTAATATTAGATATAAAAAAGGCTTATAATTTAGCTAAAGCGCCCATGCATCAAGAATTGCGAGAAACTGTCAAATTAAAAGCCATGCGGAGACACTTGTTAATTACTGACAAATAGTAGGCTTTAACTTAATCTCATACATCGGAAAACAAGCACATACAGCCTAACATACCATTTCTTATAGTACTTACCGGTCTTCACAGACACAATACTCGGACCAAATGATTCACTCAGACAACTTCTTAACGTGCCTAAAAACTCCAGTCCTTTCAAAATAAAAACACGAAGACATGCAGGTTAAGGCACCCCCTCTGTTTTAGTAAACAAAACCTGCGAATAAATTCTCTCTGTATAGCGCAAGGGTGAAGGTTAGTAGCTGTCTAAGGAAATGTGGAGAATGCCAGCTGACGAACATTTGGTGAGTTTGCAATATACTGTCCTTTAACTGGGCAATGCAAAAAATAAAGATAGAACATGTTCCATAATATTTCACCTTTCAATCCAAATTCAGCAATTCGGCGTGCCTATTTACATACCTTGGCGGAGTCTCTTCTCGTCTTCCGTTAATACTACCAGCAATAGTTCTGCGTACACCCCTTGCCGATTCTCCTCCCTCTCCCCTTTGCGTCTACAGGTTCTCCGTTACGTCCACCCACGACTGAAATCCCCTATACCGCTGCTATCAAATCCAAAAAAATGTGACAGAATCAGAAGACTGGTGCCGCAGATCCGTATACCACTTACTGTTTTAACTATTTCTGTTTAAGTGTATGAGTCGGCTCCAATGAAAATGGAACTCTGAGCTATAGAAACTATACACATATAGCCTACGTGAAGTGCTGTTGTGCTATAGAACAGAATACTGACATGATATATATATTTCGTTTATGTAAACATACAAACAAAACGAATACTTAATTCTATTTATAGCGGCGGACCGTCACATTAAAATGAACGTAACTGACATTTTACCGAATATAGGTAATCATTCAGAATTTTTGTCTTGAGCGGCTTATTTGAAGAATTGCCAGATAACTAGATACAGCATATAATGTTCTTATAACCGCACATTTCTTTCTCTCTTCCCCTCTGTACCTCTTCGTAAGGACGACAATGTCGTGCAATTCGTTGGTTCCATAGATACGCACCGCTGTAAATCGCACATTGCTTTAGAAGGCATGGAAAATGTAGCGGCTCGCAGCTACTCTCTCGGTCAGTTAAGTCTCGTGACACTGACTAAACTCAGCAAGTGAAACGGGGGTGCGCGCGGTCGCCGTGGACAGCGCGTGCACTGACGCTAGAAGAGGAACCGTCTTAAATCCCAAGTTAACTGTGACCCACGCGGTAAGAGAGGAGGATGGGAGATATGAATACCCTACCGGTATTGAAGGAATTGTGGAAGGGAGGTTTACCTGTCCAGTTTCGGAAAGAACATGAACAGATGCGTCAGTGCTGCTGCACGTCTAGGGAGCGTAGCCTAAAGCGCTGCTTTTACGGACATGCAAAACTAATAGAAAATGTAAGTTTCCTAATAGTAATTACTTAGGGCACAAGGATCCGGTATGGTTCCATATTCATTATCGAAGGCAGGGGAGTCGGCGGAAGAAGTATCATGCAGACTGCCGGTGTTCTCGATGTCATTGAGTCTATCTGCGACCTTGAGTCAAGGTCGTACCTGAAGCTGTGCTGCCTGACGAAACTGTATATGCTCGGAGCTGAAGTGCTGCATTGCGTTAAGCCCGCGATATACTTCAAACAAATAAATTTAACACCACCGGCAATTCTTAAATGCATCCTTTTGTTTTTTGTTATGATATTGTGCTGTTATTATTCTTGAATTATCTATCAGGCTAATTTATTTAAGTGAGGTATATATTTGTGTTACTGGCAAAATTACGGAATGTTATTTGTTACAATGTATGTGCGTTTGAGATGTTTTTGCTGTATTAGATAGAGTGTGTGTGTGTGGGGGGGGGGTTGGAATGCAGTTTGAGGTCATGACCTAGGGACAGCTGTGGACGAAGACAAAAGTTCACATCCTCTAATATTCAGAAATAATGAACGGCACATAGAAATTCCAGTTGGGAAACTTTATGATATGTCTAGATTAAGCCCACATTTTGTGTTTGCAGGTTGAACGCTGATTTACAAACTATGATCTCAATAAAAATGAATGAATGAATGAATGAATGAATGAATGATTTAACAGATGCATAATGATGGTAAAGACCTTTCTGATAAAGTTTTCACTGGCACACTCAACAGATCTTTAATGATAGGCTATATTTGTTTTTGGTTAATACTATGTTAGAGTCACTATTTTACCGTGAGATAAAAAGATAAATAAAGTGAAGTAATACTTAATGAAAATGCATATAAACAGTTTGTTTCCCATAACAAATGGCAATGCCAGTTGTTGTCTTTAAAGCATATGGGGGCAAGTTCTATGGGATATGTTTATCAGCTTTCTCATCTTCATTAAGGGAAAACAGGTTCAGTGAACTTAAGTACAATATGATCTACACTGTGTGTGCATACGTACATATTAATTCTGATTGATTCCTTTTATGATATAAATGCAAACACTCGGTAGGCTAAAAACAAACAAGCCAACAAATAGGTTTAGACAAATTATTTTGTTATATATTTCTCAGTGAAAATGGCAAGGACATATATAACATATATAAGATAAAAAAACATTTCCATTTATAGAAGAAAGAAAACAGAGCAGGTAAAACTATAGAAGAAAGAAAAACCGCGTGGACAATCGGCTCTTTGCTCGCTTCCACACCTGCTCTTTTTATTCCATTTAAAGAACCATAAAGCATGACACGAGAAAGACGCCAAACTTCTGTCAGCAAATGGACATGCTGACTGTATTTACATTCCATTGTACTTACTTATTTTATTGTATTTACTGGTAAATATGCATTTTACAATATCTGATTATAATGCGTGATACCAGTGTTGATTTATCACATTGCACCAAATTCATTTGAATGCAGTTATATCTTCTTCTAATAATAGTAATACTATTTGCTCTTTATGAATTGTTACATTCCTTGTTTATTATTACTGAAATTAGTATGTCATCTGTTTACTTAAGTAATATACTTTTATCTAATCGCTTGTCGCCAATTGTGTTGATTTTTCCTGGTACTATTGCTCCCTCTGTCGACCATTCGATTGTACGACTTCTGGAAACCAGATTGCGCAAATCTTACAACAATGACGTCAGTATGCAGGCAGGCACAATCTGTCCTCGAGCCTAAGGTCAGTCTGAATTGGGAGCATTAAAAATAACATAAACATGCATTAACATTTACTACCAAGTATCAAGCAGTCGCTACTCATGATTTTTTTTTAATGAACTGTTTTCTAATGAAATCACCAAGTTTCTTCAAAATATATATAAGCCTATAATATGTTTATTTGGAGCCTACACACATTCTGATGAATCAGAATAGCTTCAAACTGTGTTTATAATTATGAAGAACTATTGTATATGGCTGTTAAATGCATTTTTTCCCCAAAGCGTAATCTGTAATAGCTCTACGGTATGCTTTACGTTTTTCCATAGTGGGAAATTAGATAAAACTTTATAATAAAAAGACGAGAAATTGCATTATCTTGCCAGAAGGTGCTTTAAAAAAAGAAGTGTGCGAGATGACGTGGCGCTCCGTGTGTATATTTAGACTAAATTAAGTTCCAGGAAAAAAAAAGAAAAGAAAAACAGTCGCTTTTAAAGTCGAGTTATTTTTACCAGAGAAAAATTTTGCAATACCACAGCTCACCGCCAGATGTAATGTGTTTGATCATTGAATTCTTCCATTTTAGCACTAGATGTCACCAAAGAACCCACAGTTTCACGTAGACGTTATGCGATGCAGCGAGTTTCCACAATTTTATGTTGCATTCTAGTTCAGACATGATAATTTTTTCTTTAGCAGTTATTATCTTCATTTTCAACAGAGACAGACAAGTCATGCCCTTGAGAGTTTTAGGAAAAAAATCTTTTACAGGGCCTCCCTCTCCTTTTCAGTGTTACTGCAACACTTTAATTTCCGTACGATTACAGCCTTGCAACCGTAACCATAATAATGTTAAAATGGGACAGAGGGAAAGAACGGCAATAAACTGTCCTTGAAAGATTAACGGCTCGGTAGTTCTGAACTGTAATTAACAACGAGACTCAAGAAAGGCAAAAACCAACCAAAAGGAGGAATAGAGAACACAGGGTGTGGAAAATAAAAAGGGTTTGTGTATAATATTACGATATACAAAGTAAATGTATATGTTATATAAATAAAGACAGTGTGTGTGTGTGTGTGTGTATATATATATATATATATATATATATATATATATATATATATATATATATATATATATGCTATAGACACACGAATCGATTGTTTTCAGACCAACACTAAGAAAACTGTGCAAGACATTTTCGGTATGTTACCTGAGGGGTCCAGGTGGGGCCCACACAGCAAACAGATATTGTTTTTAAATACAACATTTTCATTTTTTTATAGACTGCAATGGAAGTTACGTTTGCCTGCATGGTTTAGGACAGCGTACATGTTCAAGCAGGCTTACTGTTAATAATATGAAGTTTGGCTAAAAAGATGGTTTTACATTGCAAAACGTATTGATGTGCATATGGGAGTTTATCTATTATTTTTCTAAATACCACACACCGACACACCCAGGCATAGTGACTCTGTGGTACCCATGCGGTGACACACACACGCAAACACACACACACACGGAAACGCGCTATTTTCCTTCAACGTGTATTTATGCATATTTGGCTCCTATCTCTCCCTCGCTCCCGGTTTCTCTGTCTCTCTCTTTCTCTCCCACCACTCTTTCAACCACATGTTGTTCAACCTACTCCCGACCCTGCTCATTTGGAAATGAGAAAAGTTCTCTGATAAAACCTCGACAACAACAAAATAAAGATATGCGTTCTTTTCCCATCGTAACAAAAGAAACCATCCAGAGTACAAGAAGATTTGGGACATAGTTTACACTTGTTTTTATCACCAAGGAAAGGATCTCCTGTCTCCAGCTGAGTATTAGTTTCGTCTGTTTCTGCTTACGCCGAAAATTATGACAATTCTGCGTAGATATTTCTTATAATAATAAAACATAGAAGTCGCTATAAAATTACTCGTTCATCTTCTTTTGGCATACTTGAAGATCGCATATAAGTCGGAGACTTTGTGAAAAATGAACAGAGATGAATTTGCGAACATTTAAAAAAGCAAGGAAAATTCAGATGCAGTGGTAATTAAAAAAATTCTTGGTTGTATCTGGGAAAAGATCCGGAGTAAAGGGAATGCATTAAAGACGAAAGCAATATTTTTTAAACTTCGTTGAAGACAATGTTGTATTATCATGCAGCAGTGTATACTGGAATGTAACACTAAAGACACCGTTAGGGATAAGGGTCGATACGATGTCCTTTTATTTTAGCGAATAAAATATCAGGGAAGGGAATATCTGATGTTGTTTTCAGTTTATCTGAAATGGTATGTGCATCATTTATTTGTTTATTATTCTAAAATATTTAAGAAACAGATTTTTAGTTTGTTGACTTTTTAATCGGGAGTTAAACGGGATCTCTAAAAAATTCGAGCAAGTGCGTATAAAAATACCGTATTTTAAATAACTCATAAAGGGTAGCCATGACCTCCTGCAGCTTACGAACGATTCTACTTGCATACCCGATTCTGATTTTACTCGCTATGGCAATCTGTGCACAAGGCTTTTCCACCTGCCAGTCTTTCGACTTGGACGACTACAAGTCGAAGAGGATAGAGGCCGTGCGCGGACAGATCCTTAGCAAGCTTCGCATTCGGGAGCCACCTGAACGTGAAGTTAGCCCACCACCCGAGGAGGTCCCTCAGGAAGTCATGCTTCTTTACAACAGCACCAAGGAGTTTGCCAAGGTTGATCCTTCCTGTGAACGCGAGAGCAGTGAGGAAGACTACTACGCCAAAGAGGTCCAGCGAGTCGATATGCTACCACCTCGCATTGACACAAGTAAGTAATAAAATATTTATAAAACTGTAATTTTATGTAGGCTACTATAACTGTTATACACTTGGAGTTGGCCATTAATTATTTCACTTGCTGGTGTTGAAAGTTGAATAAGCTTAATTAGATGCGTAATATAAATATATAAAAGTTTTAAATTAAAACGTATTCAAGTATTTGAATATATGTTTTGACCACTCATTGCAAGTTCAAGGGATAAGTGCAACTAATTAGGTTTTTAAACATTTCAAGATCGAGTGATTTATATATACCTCATAATTCACCGAATAAGGATGTTTATGTATTGTTTTAATGAGTGCTATGCACTTCCCACAACAGTTAATACTGACTATCCATTCAAAAAACTTTAGAAAAGGACAGTTAAATTCTCCAAAACGCGTTGTTCATTCGTTTTGGACCCAAGAACTTCCAGAGATAGGTACAGTTTGGTGTACAGCTAATGTAAAAGCTATTATTAAGGCTGTAAGCCATAATAATTAATTTGCAGCACAATGAAACAAATTATTTTGTATGGTTTTGTATTGGGTATAATAGATTTCTTGTGATATACGTGTGATAGATTTGGCTCACCTGGAACTTATAGGAAGCTATGAGATGGTGTTGCAGAAAAGTTAAAATAATAGGTAATATTCAAACCTTTCCTTATGTGTAAACAAACTGCAGTAAAATAATCTAATTTTATTTTACATTTATAGCCTGCTGGTCTTTTGCATGCAGGGTTGCTAAATTTGTTCAGCTACCTGGTGTGAGATTTTCAGTTTGAGGCAAATCTGCACACACGTGCATATGCATTTACATGTATGTAACAGTGTAACCGTGTTAATAGCTTGTAGGGTTTGCAAACTACCCCAGTGCTTTTGATGTAGCTAATTTTAGGTTTATTATGGAATAATACAGATTTGCCATAAGATTTCTTGCATGAGTCTGAAAGCGTGAATGCGTGAAATAATTTTCAAGAATGCTCATTCAGTATTGGTTGAATGTCTTTTATTTATTCATTATTTCCTTCCTTCTTGTTTCAGATGTGATCAATGGTGGACCTCCGAGCTTGTATTTCCGGGTTGTAAGGTTTGATGTCAGTCGCGTGGACAGAAACTCCAGCACGCTGGTGAAAGCAGAATTCAGGATATATCGCATCCCCAACCCACAGGCTCGCACCTTGGAGCAGAGGGTGGAAATATATCAGGTACCCAATGCTGCACATCCCTTTCGCTTTAACTGCACTTGTTAGAATTTGAGAATCTATCAGAGTATAATTGGGCAGCAGGTCTCACACCTCTGGAGGTCAGGCCTCGATTCCCCACCCCGACTCTACGTTTGCAGGGTTTGCATGTTTGCATGCTGTCATGTCTTCTCTGGTTTCCCTCAACAGTGCAAAAGCATGCTATGATGAATTGGAATTATCTGTAGGTGTGAATGGTGCGAGTTTCCTGTGTGGGCTGGTGCCCCCTCCTGGGTTATTCCCCACCTTGTGCCCGTTGTTACCAGGACAGGCGCCAAACCACCATGACCCAGTACAGGGCCTGCAGTAGAAAAGATGAATGAGTATAAATGACCTAGACTTGCAAGCAGCAGTTAATGGTTTGTACTCACGTTTCCCGTTCTCTCATCAAGCTACTGAAATCTCGCGACCCAGCAGCTCCCTCGCAGCGATACATCGAGTCCCGCACGGTGCGTCCCCGCGCCAAGGGCTCGTGGCTGTCTGTCGACGTCACAGACACCGTCAAGGAATGGCTAGCAAACAAAGGTTACGGGGCACACGACTCATACTTCACTTATTTTGCTACTGCTTTTGGGGGACTTGGTTTCTCTCACTTATCGCTTTTTTGTTTCTTTGCTCGCTATCTCTGCCCTTTAGACAGAAACTTGGGACTGAAGCTGAGCGTGCACTGTCCGTGTTGTACGTTTGTCCCCTCCACTAACAACATCGTGCCCAATAGAAGCGAAGAGCTGGAGGCCCGTTTCGCAGGTTTGGAGGGGAACCGAGATCATTGTTCTAGACTGCATAACTGACAATTACAAAGGCAGACCGTATTGGGGCTGAATGACAGTCGCATGGACTATTGCATGGATTCGTGATAAATGACAAAGGGAGATTTCTAGACTGCTTTAAATGAATGAAGATTACATGAGAATGGCAGGCTGTCTTAGTAATGAGGGACCTTGAGAGGAACCATGCTAGACAATAGTGAAGATTACAGTGATGATGCCGATCTGTATTGGTGTCCTCATAATGGTTCTAGAATCACACACCATAGATATTGCACACAGTGTTATGTAATTTACCTGTATCAGTTACTGCTTTCTGCTTGCAAATCAGTTGCCAGTCTTAAAAGAAAAATGAGTGTGCTTTATTGTGTGTGTGATTTGTAGGTAAGGGATAAACCACTTCAAGGTGTTCAGTTATATGAAAATAATCAACAGCAACTGGGTGTAATTCAGCCCGATTGCCGCTAAAAAAAGTTGGAGTTGATTAAATTCAATTATTATTTAACAATGTTCCAATGTGCTGTTAAAAATATAGTCCCTATAAGGACAGAATGTCTGGTCAGTCTACTCACTGGAATCGTTATCAACATTAAGTTGCCATAGAAACTGTCAACCGACAGGAGTTTGCATTTTGAAAACCAAGGACAATTATGCTGATGACTGACTGCTGATTTTTGAGTAAAAAGTCGCACAGGTTTTTATATTTACATGTTTAATAAAACATTAAAATGCATTAATATAGAACTGTAATTAGGCTATCGGAACTACCTGTGCGTTTACATGAAAATAATCAACACCCATGTGACCTCTCTGGACCAATAAGAAAATAGTATTTGCCAAAGCTGTGGTATAAGGTTTAATAATGGTGGATGGTAATTTTTGCTAATTTTGATTCATCTTCTTCACAGGTATTGACGATGAAATAATGAAGCTGCACAAGAGGCCAGAAGCTGTTAAGGGCCAAATTGAGTTCAGCACCAAGACACCACACCTGATTCTTAGCCTGCTGCCCAGTGACAGGCTGGACGATTCTAGCAAGAAGCACCGCAAGCGGAGGGCAGCAGCCGACGTCCCCACATGCTCACGGTACCTTCATGTCACTGTGCATGTGTCGTTTCCATAGTAACCATCCACAAGGTTTCTGGAAGGCAAAGTAACAGCTGTCTGAACTTCATTGTATCCCATTGCACATGCACAAATGCATACCTGTGCTAGTGTGAAATTCTTATGGTACACAATGTCGGGCCAACAGATTTGCTCTGTTTTGACTCCCGTCAGCAGCATGGACCAAGGATGCTGTCTCCGGTCCTTGTACATTGATTTCCGCCGTGACCTGAACTGGAAGTGGATTCATGAGCCTAAAGGCTACAAGGCCAACTTCTGTGCTGGGAACTGTCCGTACTTATGGAGTGCAGACAATCACTACAGTATGGTCAGTGCCTCCTCATCCAACTGAGAGCATCTTCAAAGTCGTAAGATGATGACAGGCCCATGAGATGTATATGTATTGAAAACCAAGATCCTAAATTTAACACAGTTTAATTGTTTGCATTTTACATTTAAAATGGATTTTTTTTTTATTTTTGCATAATTTTTTAATCTGTTGAGAGAGGGTTGGTAGTTGTTTACTTAATGTTTGTCAAGTGTCAGCTGCTTTTTCTCACTGGCATTTGGTCTTTTACGAGCGGTACTTCTCGCCCGTTATTTGTCCAGCACTCGCTTGATCACCTCACGCCCGAGTCAGTGTATAACTCCGCGACCTTTAACCACAGCACGCTGTTTTATGTAGGTGGTATTTCTGTTTTAAGCCAAAGCACTCTGTGGGTACAGCAGTAAACAATCCACCGGTCACGGCTGCCTCTCCCAAAAGCATAGACGCTAACGACGTTAGCAACTTACATAGTTGGAACCATGCAACTGAATGGGAGCTGTCGGGAAACATAGGCCACATGGGCATCCTTAGCTTTTTTAGGCCAAGCGAGACACATCGACATGTCTACATCTTATTCACTTTCTAATTCAGAGGCCTTGTGCAATGATCAAAACAATTAATAAATACGATTAAAGCTTTTTAGTTACGGTACGGAGAAAACACTGGAGTCACACCGACTCGTTTCTCGTCTTAATAACAATAAGTGTGGTTTGGACAGTCTGGGGCCCCTCGCCGCCATGGTTCTTGTGGGCTGCTACTCGCTGTTTTCAGACGCGCCTGTTTTGCTTTCTCTCCGGCCCAGATCCTGCCCCTGTACAACAAGCTGAATCCCGAGGCCTCCGTCTCCCCGTGCTGCGTCCCTCAGGACATGGAGCCCCTCACCATTGTGTACTTTGTTGGTCGCACACCACGCGTCGAGCAGCTCTCAAACATGGTTGTCAAATCTTGCAAGTGCCGCTGATATGGGTAGGGGGGAAGGATGGCTGAATATGGGGGGGGGGGCAGAAAGAGGCTGAACAAGGTAAGGGAATGAGACATATACAAATAGGAAAATGGCAGCCATGTTTTAGTACTTCTGCTTGCAAAGAAACAAATCAGATGTACAATAAACATCTGTACAGATTGGGAATAAATAATCTGTCATAGATTCCTTTACCAGTGTTAAATTATTTCGTACATCCATAAAGTAACATCTTCATAAGCAACATAACATGGTGGGAGAGCAAGGCGCTTTCTTTTGTTGTGAAAGGCACTATATATAAAAATTATTGAATTTAATTTTTTGTGATTTTGCTCTGGATTTTAAAGTATTTTTTCCTCCTCCGAAACAACTGGAAATATTACCTGAAGTAATATTGGTTGTAAATGCAAAATTATTTAGGTTGAGAACAACAGCATATTCTTGTATAATTAGCAGTTTAGTAGCAATAAGATGCACTGTAAGATTTAATAGTGGCTGTAGTGACTAGACAATAGAATGTTTTTTTTCCATAGTCAAGGTTATTATTAAATACTTTTGTTTGTAAAGCCTTATTCTAAGTAGGTGTTTATATATATTGTATCCAGTGTATAAGTTAATTGCCATTTTAGGAAGCACCAATGGTGAATTGGATGCATATAGCTTAACAAAAGGGGATACTTCATCATTCTGAATATCACGCTAGAAAATGTAAATATTGTAGCCAAATGAAATAAAGCTATTTTTATGTTTGTGAACATCAGGCATTGATCATTCTTTGTTTAAACTGCACTTTTTTTTTGTTAACAAGGGGTGATGATAGCGAATCTCTATCCAGCAATTTAAAGTACATTCCATCCATCCATGACACCTTACCATGTACAGAATTGTGTATATTCTCAGATAAGTCATGCGGTGCCAGATTTGTGTTACATAATATTACTACAGAGTCACCTAAAACCAGAGAGTAAGGGAAGCACTGCAGGGTTGTGTGAGTTCAGTCTCAGTGGCTTGAGGTTTGGTGACCGAAGAAATGGAAATAAAAGAAGCAAAAATATATACTGGACAGTGTGCCCTGGCCAATAGCGAGCAGTATGAAGTGCCTGAGCAAGCAAAGTAAAACAATCAGGACTCAGAAGAGACTCAAAACACATATTTCGGCAATATTTCACTCTTGATTAATACAGATGGGTTTTAAGTATACTTTTTAAAAATCTGATGATTATGTAGGTTTCTTACACATTGTACTGTGGAATCTGTTCGTTTATTGAGATGTCAATGTGGAATATGTGTTAGTCAATGTGGAATATGTGACAACTGCAGAAGACATCTAATAAATTTGACTGAGTTGAGATTCAGCAAGTGTTGATGACGTGTCTATTTTATTCTGCACTTGATGTTATATGTTCACTCGATTTTCTTACCAGGTGTCTTACCCAACTCGATAACGCCACCTGCTGCATGGACAAATGTACATGTAAAAGCAGAATAAAAGACGTTTTTATGGAGACATTAGGCCAAAAACCTGTAAAACAATATAAACAAACGGCACTGTAAGTCGTTGGTTGTCTAGGCTATCATACATAGATAACACTCATAAATATTTTTCTTTTAAAAGTTAGTTTTTTTAAATAAAAGAATACACACCAACTGCATAAAAACACGATGTCACGTGTTGCGAAGTCGCTCCTCGGTCCATCGCGTTTCAGCCGGAATCGCCCGCGCCGGCCGGGGCTCCGGATGAAAAGGCGCCGCATGATGATATGGCAGTGCCAGCTCAGTGCGGCTGCAGTTCGAAGATTTTCGGCGTAAACAGGATGTGAGCGATTCCCAGACACGGACCGCTCACAGAAAGCCAGATTTATACGTTTGGGTTTAAGGGTTTGCGGCAGGGAAAAAGAGACCGTCACTGAGTCACACAGTATTGTGCGGCAGCAGTTATTTATGTGGGTGCCGGAATGTTTGTTTATAAGCGCGTCTGTCAGTGTCCTTGTAAACCAGTGAAGTTGCCAATGACTGCATCTTAACGAAAAAGCAACATGGGCGTTAAGTGTATAAAATCAGAACTCCGAGACTTCTAACGATATTATCGAACAATATTAGATTAGTATTTCTCCAAGTTCCAGATGTATACGTATCTACCATCCTCTGCATATAAATTTACGTTTGTTTTCGGAATATGTTTTGATTCTGCGTTTGACTGTGTTACTTTGTGTCTGCTGTCAGTAATGGTAGAGTGATATAGAGAGAGTGAGTGGCTCCTTGTGAGGCTAACAGAGGAGAATTCATTCCAACGGATGCCATTCCAGTCCTGTGCCTGTGAAAACAACTTTGCTGTTTACATGGCAGAAAGGCAGGAAGGTGTGATGGAGGGATGGGGAGCCAGTGTGTCACCAGAGTAAGCTGTAAAGTGGTAAAAGGCCATGAATGGAGTTGGGCCAGCATTTATTCTTTGTTTGGAGAATGGGGGGTGGCGAAAATGTTAGTCTCTTGATGGCAAAACCTGCGACTGCGTGTGATAGAATTGCTCATATGATTCCCGGTGATTTACCTCCACGAAGGCTTGCAGAACGTCCAGGCTGTCCAAGGCATCAGCAAATGACGGAGGTCTCTATATTTCTTCATCTTGACTCCGGGGCTGCATCTTGCAGCAGCGGGCTGTTCAAGTCAATAGCAGCAATTGCAATTTCTGACGGGACCTTTTCAGTAGGTAAATCTGAGTCAATCACTACATAACGTTCAAAATCCTCAGCATCCACTCCTTCCAACACCAGTGACTCAGTGGCAGAACTCTCTGCAACAGTTTTCTGCCCCATTCCATCTTTGGTGAGGCCTGCTTATCTAAAACAATTGATGATCACGGTGTTTGTGCTTTTATTCCAGGGTATTGTCTGCAAATGCAAAGAATTGGCTAGTTGGCTAGTTTTTGGCTAGTTACATTGCAGTGGCATCTGCATCTATGCTGTCAGTTCAGTTCACAAGCTGATTAAGGACAGTGCTTCTTGAAGCGATTCCTTCATCTATTGGTTGGACAAGAGAGGTGGCGATGGGAAAGAACAAAACTGATTGTTAGGGTCAGTGCCCATCCGCCCCTGCCCTTCGTGTCTCTCCCCTGTTTGGCCAGCAGGTGTCGCTGGCCATCCTGCTTTTTCACTCTCTGTCTATCCCTTTGTGTGTTTCCCCTGCTCCACAGACTGCTGCATCGCTCAATGGTTTGAGTGTGTGGATTAGAGGCTGCATTCCCCCATTATGGGTTTGAGGCTGGCTAATGAGCCTCATCTGTTTCTTTGTACTTATGAGTTTCTGTTCCCCAGTGTTTTGTATCCTTTTGAGCTTCCTGTTCTAGATTTGCCCTCCTTGTGTTCTGTTTTGGTTTTATTTTATACTTTGTTTTCTTGTTTATTTTCCTAGTGCAGTTCTTCCCTGTTTCCTCAGTTTCAGGTCTTGTAAGTTCCTTGCTTCTGTGTTCATTAGTTTTAGTTACTTTGCCTATCCCTTGTTGCCCTGTGCCCATGCTGCTGCACATTTCTTACCTTGTTCTGCTTCTAGTTCAGCTCCCTTGTAGTGTTATTTTGTGGTTTCACCTTCTGCGTTCAGTTCTGTTTATTATTAACTCCCTCTGTCTCGGAACCGCAAGTGGATCGTCACCTTCTTTGCGACTGCGCCGTCCCGCACCGTGACATTTGACATTAGTTAGTCATGCTGTTTTTTAAGTGTGTTGCACAGCTGTCGTATAGCAACAGGATATTTGGTTCTTTGGCTTTCATCTTCCTCTCCAGCTTTTTTAGCCACACTTCCCAAATGCCTCCTGTCATCCTTGCGTTTGTTTTGGCCTTGTAGGGCACTGGAGGGCTGTTCACTGTTTTTAAGCAGCACAGTGACTTACCCTTGCCAATAACAAGAGGGTGTAATTTGGCACTTGCGTCCGTGTTGCTTGCTAGCAGCAGGGTGATGTGTTCCTTTGATGTTTTAGCTCTGGTCACATCTGATGTGTTAAATGCAAGTGTTCGGTCAGGAATGGCCCTCCATTACAGTCCTGTTTCATCTGCATTAAACATGTTATCCGGGCTATATTCTGCCAGTAAGTCCAGTGGCACTTCAGTGATCCAGCATTCGGCACTGAAGTCATCTACATCGTCAGAGACCACATTCACACCTATAACCACCTGGCTTTTACCCTCCTGCCATGAGGTAGATGATACAGAACCTTCCAGGCCCTACCTCAAGAAGGAAGAACGGCTTCTACCCGAGGGCTGTTGAACCAGCAATAATCAGTCCGACTTGCTGCACCGTCCAGGACATATTCCCATGTCCTTTTCTGCCACATTCTTTTGCACTTACTGCTGACTTATTGCGCTCTTACCTCATGGCATTGCCTCTTTGCACTTTATTCCTCATTCAGTATTTTTTTTTTATCTTTGTAAAGTTCTCAGTACATATATTTTTTTGCATATACCTCATATTTTTATTTATTTATTATTTTCGTTACTTTTTTCTTTTGCATAATTACGAGTAGCACGCCAAATTTTGTTGCACACTGTACAGTGACAATAAACACTATTCTATTCTATTCTATTCTATCTTGCCTTGCTTTGTTTTTTTTTTTTAATTTGTTGGAATTTCACAGTTTCTACTTATACCACCCGCTTGAGGCTTTGAAATCTGATAGCTGTGTCGCTAGCTGGTTAGCTTTCTCAATCAACAATGGGCCGTTAACTGGGATTTGTCTGCTGCTTGCTTGACTAGACCACCTGAGCAGAGCAATCTCAGCGTCCTCTGCTTTACCTGCTTGCTTGAGCTTTTGGTCAGGATTTGAATTATTTCTCCATTTATCCCAGGGCTTGTCTTTGTTTTTGAATCCTGGAAATAACACTTCAATCTACTCCTAAACTAGAAGCAATATATGTCTGACTCTATATCATCTATCATTTGCAAGATATTAATACACTCTGCTAAGTGTCTTGCTACTTTAGTTAGCTATTTCCTAGGTTTGCTTTTGAGGTCAGTATGCAAATCAAAATGCATTTGATCGAAATAGAAGCCTGTGCCATTATCTAAAATGTTTTACATTGTAATACTGAGATCAGAACCATGTGACATGTTGCATTTATTTGGATTGTGCAGATATAAGAAGTGTGCTCTACTGGGATGTGATACCATAGAAAACTATTCATTGAAATTGGGACTGGCTGCACGTTGTGGAATAAAGCAGAGTATGCCATAATCCAATGTGCACACAAACGCATTCTTGGGGGGGACGATAATTTCTTGTCATATTGGCGCAAATACACGTAAAATACACATGCATTCACACAGTTACAATAATCGATTGCCGCACGTAACGCTTTCAAAGGTGAACGCGTACTTGTGTACCAATTATATCAATCCCTGACTATACTCATTTGTGTGTTATCATATTTGAGTAACATGAGTGTTTTTCAGAATTCATGCATCCTAGAAAATGAAAGCGCCATTGCTATTGAAGTATGCATGTGGAGCAATCTAATCCCGTACTTATCCTGTACTAGGATAAGGGTGAGTCTGGATTATCTGCCAGGAATAATAGGGAATGGGAAGCCCTGCCATGGGAAACTATGGGCAACCAGACTATGAGTCACCAGTTCACCTCACTGCAGTAAATCTGTATGAAGCCCCAACTTTGGATTATAATTATGACAGCAATACCTATCTAGCCACCTTGTTGCCTTATTAAACATTCTGTGTGTTTTGCTATAATATTTTATAATGATTATTCCTGTTATTATTGTACTGTTGTGTCATGCTAATATGCAAAATGGAGTTTAGCTGAGTAGTTTTCCAATATGTTTTTCTTAAATGCCCCGTATTGTCCAGGCACACCTTTAAACCCCCCCCCTACCCTGTGCCCTGGGTCCAAGCTCACCACAGCCCCCTGGTGGATATGCAGTTATAGGAAATGTATGGGTGTTTCTATGACACCAGTTTTTGCCCGTAATTTTTCTAAAGGTAACATTTTTCTTCATATTTGCCCATAACCTGTTATCACCACTATATTGTCAATCACCAGATGGCAAAGCTATGGTTCAGGTGTAGTTTTTGCACCTGCTGATTATGCTATTTACCACTATACATCCATCCAATTATTCATACATCCACCCATCCTTCCATCCATTTTCTCAGTGATTATCCACTTTATTAGGAACTGTCAAGATGGATGGTGGATAGAGGCAGATGAGATGATCAGAAGCAGTGTAGTCTGCAATTTTTATTTCTTCTTTTCCCTTAACACAATTATAACTAAACTGTATAAAAATGCTAAATCAATCCAAACATAAACTCTATTAAATACAGCTGAAGAAAATACACATTTTTTTAAGAAAAAGGGTTGTGGGTTACAATGCTTAGATCCCCACCCCTACACCAGCATCCCCCCTCCCCCCCCCGTAACTTGCCTAAATTGCCTAATTGCCTAAAACAGCCTTCTGGGAGTCATAGCAGCATCCCTCAGCTCATACCGATCACCTTCCAAAAAAAAAAACAAAAAACTATACATCCATCCAATTATTCATACATCCACCCATCCTTCCATCCATTTTCTCAGTGATTATCCACTTTATTAGGAACTGTCAAGATGGATGGTGGATAGAGGCAGATGAGATGATCAGAAGCAGTGTAGTCTGCAATTTTTATTTCTTCTTTTCCCTTAACACAATTATAACTCTGTCTAACAGAGAGATTCCTGCACTGACAGCCTCCGCAATAACCCTCAGCAGCTGGTTGGGGCACCACTGACAACGTCCCTCTCCCAGGGCTTTTCAGCAACAACTTAAGCTGTGTTCCTGGGATCCTCTTCCCTGGCACAACAGGCACGCAAGGGTTTCTGCCAGACCCCAGGAGAAAAGATTGGTTGAGCTTGGGAGGACATCGTAGACTGACTTGATAAGGAATTTGATCTGCTGTGGCTGAATTTTCCACAACTCTGCCCACGTGATCTTCCAGTCCATTGACTGCGGCCATTGAGTCCACGCCCCTTGCTGCTGCATTCCAAGCATCCTGTACAGTAGGTGCAGATTTCCTCCACCTATGCACGGATTTCTTCCTGAACCAGCTGGCATCTTTCCTTTCCCCGGGTTTTGTTTCACTGAGGTCTTGGAATGCTACCAATCCCTGCCCGTCCTGATCTCTCTATTCCCACCAGCAATAACACTCTGCCACAGGTGTGGCTCAACCTGGTCATTTAGCTCCTGAGCCGTCCACTTCTTACCATTCGGCCAAAACATTATGAGCACTCCCACGTGATTAACGTGAATAACATTGATTATTTTGGACAATTAGCGCACGCCAAGGATACATTAGATGGTAAGATAACTTTCGGTACCCATAGACAGTGTGTCAATGTCGAAGAAGTAGGCAGGAGTAATGATCTGAATTATATTGATTCGGGCCAGACTGTTGTGGCCAGATGACTTGGTCAGAACATCTTTGGAGCGGAAAGGCTTTTGGGGTGTTCATGGTCAGCCGGGGTGAGCACCAACTGACAACAGACTGAGGAGGGAAAAACGATGAACCGCTGACATGCTGTTGGGTGACCAAACTGTGTTGGCAGATCGTGGTTTCCACGGTTGAAGTACTTGCACTTTTCATTACCAAAACAGCAAATACAAATTGACATTAGGGTACAACAGGAAATGCAGGATCCTTTACATGAGAAAAATCCAATGTCAATAAATTTATATGTTTTCATAGTGATATGTAGTACAAATAAAATCGTATAAACACAATAACATCCTTAGATGGGATGCAAGTTGGGCACCCACACACAAAAACAATAGACTATGGGCAAATTTGATAAATTGACCAAAACTGCATGTATTTGATATATGAGGAGAATATAGAGTACCTGGAAGAAACCTGAACACCACAGGGAAAGCACGCAAACAGACAGAGCAAGACTGGGATTTGGGATTTATTGACAGTTAAATAACAGTGAAGCATGTATTATTTCATTGCTTTTGAAAGATTATGAAGGTATTAAGCAGCTGCAGTTTTCAGGGTAGACATATCAATTTTTCTGTTGACCTGGTGTGTCCCATTGTGGGACAGGGCAATTCACTGCAGGCACCAAGGCAAAAACCAATATTTTATGAATGAGCAGAAACAAATGTAGGCAGACTGATTGGAAGAATTAAAATGCAGTTTCAAGCCAGTCAGGCTGGAATGTCAAAATTATCTGCATGGATATTGTACATTGTGTTGTAATATTTATTGCACGATTATCCATCGCCATGTAGTCGCTCTCTTGTCAGTTCAATAACGGTGTAACAAGCAACCATTGAGGGGTGTTGTTAGGTCTTTTGAAAGTATTAAGTGGCTACAGTTTTCAGAGCAGTAGTATAAACTCTTCTCTTGACCTGGTATGTTTCACTGTTGGACAGTGCAGTTCACTGCAGACACCAAGGTAAAATGGAGATTTAATGGAAAACCCAATGACCAGAAGCAAATGCAGGCAGGCCAATCGGAAGGGTTAACATGCAGCTTCAAGCCAGACAGGCTGGGATGTTAAAATTAGATTTTCAGTTCAAAGATGTTAAGTCTTTGTGTATATCCATGTTAAGTCAGTCCTCATTGGTTTGCCCAAACAGTGTGTACCTGAAATAGATTTCTGTTTTGATTTGTGAAAATCCTGCAAATGCCAGAAGGAATATGTCTGTAATATAACATGACTGTACTGTGCTTTAAAATTAATGGACTTTCTGTAACCAAATGTATTGATTTATGTCTCCACTACTCAAGTAATTGTTCTTGGTTGAAGTACTTGTATACATTGTGGCTATTATTAAGAACTGAAAAGCACTGAGATGTGGTGGCCCAGAAATGGAAATCAAAGTAGACAGTTTCACAGAGGCTAACAGTTTAATAGTTTCATGACAGTAAGACAAGAAAATCAGTGGCACAAATTTATTCTCTTGCATCAAATGTTAATAAAATGATAAAATGGTCGCAGATGGGATTCTTCATCTTCAGGATTGGGGTCCTAGTTAAGTATCCTTTTCTGCAACAATGAAATGAAACGTATTCTTAACTTTTCAGGGAATGAAATGGTCAGAAAAGATGAAGACACACATAGCAAAGGAGCAATAAGTTAGCTGTGAAATTTGGAAAATGTGTAAGACAAAAAGAATAAGCTGCTTTGCAGGGATGTTTTTTGTTGCTGTCCAGCCCATGCAGAGTTTAGAAGCTACATCTCCAGACAAATGTGCAAGTAAGCAGCTGAATGAAATGCGTTCTCTACTCACAGCAGCCATAGAGCTTGTTGATCCTCAGAATATCAGATTGAGACAGTCCATTCCTCTGTCCAATTTGTGCAGTTTCATCAGGGATTGGAGTGATAGTATCCATTCCGGGCTTAATTGTGAAAGCAGTCCTGTACGAATGGAGAGTTGGTAGGGGCATCACTTTTGATTTTGACATTTGAAAAGCAGTTGAAGGAATGACCTTCCACTCTTTTGTTTGATATGTGTCCTTACTGTTGCATCGTGACTCTTGTCCTTACCTTCCATAATGCATGACAGAGCCATAGTCATATGCAGTAATTTCATTAGTGGTGTTTTGTTTGTCAAAGTTGAAGGTCTCATCTGTGAAACAATTGGAAGCTGTATTAGTTGAGTTCTTTAAGAGATTTCCTGTGTCCTTATGCGACAGTGGATGTTGTTCACCATGCACACATTATCCTGGAATTGTCAAGAGAAATTGCTATTTGACAATATTATTCAGAGGCTAAGTGGCCCTGATTGGATGTTACTCACTTGGGTCAACGTATTTCCAGTTGATCCTGACATATCGGTCACGGTCACTTCTCACATGCTCGTGATAGAAACCCAGAGCATGGTTAAGCTCGTGCTGAACAATTCCGCCAATAAGGCAGGTGCTTTCCATGAGAGAGACCACCTGCTTGCCTCCAATTTTACCAATAGAGGAATAACATCTACCAAGAGAGAAGATCAATGCTGCAGTGTGATGCAGAGAGTGTCATGTGACAGACAGCCGACTGAATTAAAGAAAACTTGAGTTTGTTAGCAGAAATGTACAGCAACAATGCAGGTTATTTTGAATGAAGATTTCCAGAAAGCTGTGAACTATCACTCAAGCACTAAGTCCTAAGTCTGCAACGGTGTCAGTCTTACCCATACAAGTTCTCAATGCTGAGGTAGTCTGACTGGGACGTCCAAGGGGTGAATCGGATGCAGGTTTTAGAGCTGAATGCATTTATAGCAGATTGTATCACCTGTATATCAGAGGTGGCTGTACAGCAGAAGCACATCAGAAGGGTAGAACAATTCAGCATAATGAATACTGGCTCTCAAAACACTGATCAGTTGTCTAACAGTGACAACTGAAGTTGCCGAACCATCTTGTGTTTAATTGTTCTTATGCTAAATGAGTAACAAATACAAAACTTTACTCTCCAGCGTAGCATGATTTTAATGAACACAGTACATATGAACTCATGTCTGTACGCACTAGAGCATAGTTGCTTATCGATTGAGATGCCTTTTATTTTCTTTTAAAACCTAAAGGGTCAAGGCATACGTAAACTTTTTGAAATGTCGACTTGGCATCCACTTACAAAAACCACTGCTGATCACGTAAGGCACTTCTACAAGTCCATTTGCAGATTTCGGCCACAAGCAGATATTCATATAGCAAATCATGGCGTTCTTGGTGTTTGTGATGAGCAGGTCTCCTTCCACCAGCATCTGACTGGATCCTTTTAGAACAGGGTAAAACGAAAGTGAAAAGGCTTCATGAAATTGTCTTGACTATAGTTTTTCTATTTCAGATCACAAAGCGTTGTGTGATATATATTGTAGGTATTATTATTATTATTATTATAGTGTCACCAGACCTACATTTCCAGCATGTAGCTGTTGTTAAGAATTAAAATGAAAAAAATTGTTATTATCAGAAACTATGCAACAACAGCGACATTAAGACTAACCATTGTTTGCCTCCAGAATCCTCCTGGATAGGTCCAAATGGTCCTCCAAATGGGTTCCTTAAATGAGAAGAATTTGAGAAGAACATTGCGGCATGACTGGAGTGAGACAGGTGCACCAATGATAAGAGAGACAGCCAAACACATTGAGAATAAGTGTTTGTCATTTCCTGTGGTAATAAGAGATGGATTAGGACTCACCTTCCTCACCACCATCCTCCTGAAGGAAAGTTCAAAGAGAGATTCAAATGTGAGTATGTCCGGACACATGAGTGATACAGAAACTGAGCGACTGTTTGCACTCTGTTGATTGATTGAGGACTTACCGTCACAGGGTATGCCTTTGAGAGACTGAGCAGCAGTGCCAGGATGGTGAAAGCAAATTTGTGGTCCATCTTGTCTCAGTGTGTGATGGTTCCCTGGTTGGTTTCTTCTGGCCGTCTTGATGTGTGACTGCTGTCATGGTCCTGGTTTTATGTAGTCATCCACGGGTGTGTCTGTTAAGAGATTACTAGCTATTGTCAACTTTGTGTGACCAAAACAAACTGTTTAAAGGGTGTCTGCTAACCTCCAGTTAATCTGCAACTTGAGCCTGTAATGGAATGAGTTGATACTGCTGATTTGAGTTTTTGAGACTGAAGCTCCCTTCTCAGCTGAAAATATACACAGCATATGTGCAGAAGAGGTGTGACTTGTCCCATGAATCTGACCACCTTTTTCAGCTCATCTGTGTCACCTTAGCCTATAGCTGCCGGACTTTAGTTGGGGCTTTAAATGTATATTGCCATGGACAGTGTAGTGAAGTTGACACTTAACAAGAATGAGCTCAAAATTCAGTTGACACAGATCAAAACAAACTAATTCACAATAAGTTCACAGTCCCATTCACTTCTTCCGATTTTTTTTGTTTTTGAACTACTCTGGATTCAAAAAATACATTTTTGATCAGCATTCAAAATATTACTAGCGTCACCTATCATTAGAAAGCTCTTGGAGTCCACATCTTTGATATAAACAAAATCATTGGTGCCGTGACTAGCGCATCAGAGCGCATCCACAATGATCAAAGTCAAGGCACCTGTGAGAAAATCAAGATCAGCTGTTTTGTGCAAATCTATGGAGCCCACTACTTACCAAAAAATGGTATTTTTTAATCTTGTGCTCATAAGATAGTATCTTCTTATTCTATTGTGTACAGAAGATATACACAAATGGCATTATTGTTAAAGAAGCCCATAAAATGTTCACTCCTAATACTACCTGGTAGCAGAGGTTTAGCCTTATTTGTTAGATGAGCATTTGTACAGTATACATTGTAGTGAGGGTCATTTCTATTGCAATCAATCAGGATAGAGTAATTAGCTGAACGGGCAGACCTGTCTTGTGATGCTCACATTCAAAATGTTGCTAACTGAGATTTCTTCCATCTGATTAATATAGCCAAGCTTAGGAAGCTACTGTCTATCCATGATGCAGAAAAACAAATTCATGCCTTCATAAGACCCAGACTGAACCACTGTAAAGCTCCACTGTCTGAGTGTATCCCTGGGTCATTAACTAAATTACATTTGCTGCAGCCAAATTTCTTACTAGAACCAAATATTTGACGATATTAATCCTATTTTGTAATTGGTATGCTGGCTTTTGGTTCCGTATAGATTTTATGGTACTACTAAAGTAGAAAGCTGTGGATGACCTTGCCACAAAGAATTTCTTTGATCCTGTAGTTCCATACAAGCCCCTTAGTTTGCTTTGCTCTATTAGTTCCCATAGTGGAAAAGGGTACGCTGTGTTGCAGAGCATTCACCTACAGAGCTTTGCAGCTATAGAATAGTCTTCCGGAAAATGTGTGGCATTCCGGCTCACTCTCAATCTTTAAGGGAAAACAGACTTGTGTAGTTTAACTCTGTGTTTCCGAACCCACCTATTTTTTATTGCTTTTTTGTCCTTGGCTATGATCCAGGTGGCATTATAGTGTAGGACTCATATTGACATTTTATCCTTTGTCTTCATTCTGTTATGCATTTTCTTGTTTTGTCGTCTTGTTTCAATCCCATTAATATACTGTATGATTTCGGATCATTCTCTGCTTACTTATGATTTTTGTCACCTACATAGTGCTGTTTAGATGTCATGACCATTTATCCAGGCTCATTCCTCCTCATGAGTATTTGGAGTAATTCAGGCCAAGCTCTCCACTACATTAGCTCCCACCTGGCTCTTTACCAGGACGAAATTGCCTGTTAATTTCGAAACAGTATCTCATTTTGCTGAAATCGTAGCGTGTCCCAGTCACATTTGTTTATTGGTGTGAACTGTGTATGAATCCGCATCTTACATAGCCATTCACCAAATAGGTGATAATACTTTGAAACAGAGCAGGAAGAATACTAAAATTGATTGACCTTAACTATATTTTGATTGACCTTATTATATTTTTTGAAATAACATAAAGCAATAAATGTTAAGCAGAATTAGGTAGCTAATAAAAATTAGTACACTGTAACAGCAATATTTTCTGGATTCAAGATGTTTACTGAGAAATGCTACAATGGACCAAGATCTGTTTTAGACTAGCTATAGACATTAATCAAGGTAACCCAAATACCCAAAAACCAGGAACACATAGTACCAAGAAAACAAGTTACGCACCTTATAGGCTACAAAAATATCTTTGCAGGCCAAATATGAGCTGGATGACCACCTTTGAAAAAGAAACAACAAACACACCTTAAAGTGCTCCTTGTGAGAGCTCTCAGCTTACACACACAAACTGACAAATGCCCCCCTTCATTTGGCAAAACATGGCAAAGCATGCAAAGGGACCTGTGTTGAGCCAGCAGCTTGGCTTGTGACAGCATGTGACAAAGACACATATCAAACAAGAGACAAGTCTCAGTACCAAATTGATCATTTTTGTATTATTTGATGTCCCTGATTAGGTCTGAAAGCAGCTGGAGGATGGATGGATGTTGTTTTACAATTGCCATTCATGTTTCTGTTTTATACTTATTATAACATCTTGTAACGTTTTGCTTTGTATACTGGTGATGGTCATTTTTGGCACTATGTTCCATTCATATATTTGGAGTTCTCAAATGAAGAAAGGGACATTGCAAATGGACAAATGAGGAGTGGAGAGATCCTCCTCACGGCAGCCTCTGGCACCTCAGCATGGACCCACCCAGCCACCCTAAAGTGCAAACACATGAACTGTCACATCCTGCTCTGAAACTCACAATGCTAATCCCTGAACCCAAAATACTCCTTCCAGAAACACCGCTAGCCTCACCCCTCCCAATAATCAACACTGCTCTTGCCGACGTACAAACCCGCTATTGCTTCCCGCTATGGTGACACTTGGGCTGCCAAACCAAATACTGCAGGAACCATCAAGGAGTCCTGCTAAAGCAGCCAGTGTGATTCAAATAAGAGGCACCTGGACTTCAAAATGCAAAACAAAATAAAAGGGTTTCCAGTTAGAGTCCTGGTAAAGAGCCAGGTGGGAGCTAATGTAGTGGAGAGCTTGGCCTGAATTACTCCAAATACTCATGAGGAGGAATGAGCCTGGATAAATAATCATCCTCTATTACATGTTTAATCTGTTTGCTGTGCAGCTAAGGTCATGCGGAGCTCAGAACCCATCGCTGACTATCTCCTCTTCTCACCTCAAACAAGTCAACCACAAGATAAAAGCATAGAATCTTCTAAGAATTTCCCAGTTTCAGAGATAGGATTTGGCTCAGTGCCATTCATCTGGAAAACCACTTCCATGAGAAGGGACAGGGCCATGGAAAACCCCCCTCCCAAGTAACTAAAAGGAAGTCAGAGACCTTCCTGAAACACAACATCACTCGATATGGCAAATGAGGGCATTACCTTCTACCTTTCAGTATGTAAATATTTGCTTGCCTGCAATTTCAAATAATATCCCTGTCTGATTGCCATAGATGCACATGCAGCAATTTAAAACAAAAAAACTATTATGACGGAAAACTGTTTCTTTTATAATTTGATATACAACAACTTGTATAGCTATAATTTACATTTATTTTCATGGAATGCAGAATTTCTAATGGTAGTACAGCAGTAAAAATTGTAATGATTTTTTCCATATAATCAATAATTAATACAATTTATCAACTATTTTTAGTCAAATGACTGTAAAAGTTTTGATAGCGTAACTCAATGTTACAGTATGTTATACCATAACTTAAAATATGATGCTTAAGGATTCATCAGATTATAAAATATTATCACCTATAACCATAATCTAGTGTTTTTTTATGTTAATGTACTTAATCCCATATCTCTGTAATGGATATTATTTGAAATATTTAATTTTACTTTAGGTTAATAAAATCTCTGGGTATTGGTGTTCATTTCATCTGCAGAATGTGTATTTGTGCACTTTATTGCAGCACGCTGTCTCCCCCATGAGGTCACTTTTCTTCATACACGCTGCCGATACTGCATGTTTGTTCCAGACTTTCAGGCCTGTCATCAGCTTTTTACTCCCTCAAGGTTTGGGTGGGGTAGCACTAAAGAGGTAGAAATTAGGGTGGGAAATGTGGTGCTTTTTCCCTGTAAGCCACTATCTGTCCGGCCCTCCCCTTTAAATACCGCTTACTATACTAAACCTGCATTTATGTGCACAGCAAGGCTTACAGAGCACGGGGGATGTATTCACTTCAGGCAGGCACCTCCAACTTGGCCTGCTTTGCTTTGCTCGCAGTCTGAGCTTAAAGCTGTCAGCTGATTGGTCGTTGCAGCAGCTTACTGGTAATAAGGGTCAAACAAACAGACACACAAGCATAACACAAACACACGTAACAGACACACAAACAAAAACAAAGAATCCTTTATTCAGTAATGCAGTTAAACATCAATCCAGTCATTTTTCAGACACATGAATGTAATATGTGAGTTCCTTTCCTGTTCTAAAAAGTATTGAGAATAGAATATGTTTCATGATGCACTTTACTAAATGTAGCCAGTACAAAGGTTATATGCCATAAAAATTTTTAAGGTATGATAAAATTCTAGTGCCAACTCTCTTATTATGCAATCATAACAGTGAAGCAGTGGTCTCACACTAATTAATAGGTACAGTAACAGAACACTATAATAACCATTATCGCTGATCCACCCATCTTCTAGCTGCTTCTCCTGGTTAGGGCGGGGGGGGGGGGGGTATACTCTTTATATTAAATGTTTACTTGTTCACTAGAAACTGTTCAGAAAATACTTGCGTGGATTTCCCTGTATAATTGAATATTGCACACTTTTTATGCACATTTCCTGAAATATTTACAGATTTTTTTCTATTATTTAAAACCAGTCAAAAAAAGTGATGCAACATGAATGGATGATTGGACACATATCTCTAAGAAGTATTAAAATACACTGCCTGGCCAAAAAAACACATTAATATTGCACACATTAATATTTTTTTGGACCGCCTTTAGCTTTGATTGTGGTGCACATTCATCAATGCATTGTTTCCATGTGCTTATACTGTACAACATCTCTTTTTTTTCATTCAGATTTCTGTTCAGTTGAGCCACTCAGTAAAGTCTTCTTCAGCACATCTCAAAGACTTTCAATGGGGTTAAGGTCAAGACTCTGTGGTGGCAAAATCATGTGTGGAAATGATTCCTCATGCGCCTTGAACCACACTTTGACAATTCCAGCCTGATGAATCTTGGCATTATCGTTCTGGAATATGCCCATGCGATTGGGAAAAGAAAA